CTAAACTGTAACTGTCAAATAAGCCTGCAAGTCAACTCGTTTAGAAATGAGGTAATGTTCGATCAAGATTTGAGACTTCTTCAGAACCTCTTTCTGTAACAAAACCTTGCATATATTTATCAAAGTAGGCTTATAAAAACCGGTAACTGTAATATTTACAAATTCTCATCTTGATGAAAAAGTCACTGCACCCAGAACCAACTTTTAACATGTTCTTATTTCAGTGGAGAGCTCACCAATTATCTTTTCTGTTTTAGTTATTAGTATTAAATTTCGCTGAAAAACAGGTAACACATGTTACGCCCTCTGTTTTTTTGACACACCTGTACGGCTACAACTGACTTTCTAGCCTTTGTATAGGTGCAACAGGTCAAACAAATCAGCCAACTGAACCTTCACTAAGCTGACCCCTTGTTTACTGTTGCTCACAAGCTACTTTATGTGAACTTTGGAGGTAGATAAATTACACTGTGAAATTCTTAGTAACATTTTAACTAATACATCCAAAATTTCAGAAAAAGTTGTTAAAAAGTCTCCAGTGTGCATTTGAAAGTTTTGTGATCTCTTGGCTGCCTAAAAGAGCCAAAAGAATAAAGTCAGAGCCTAAAGCCAACTGATCATTAGACAGCCTAATCAAATAATGATACATTAAGTTGAGATGGGAATAAATAAGCAGGACTTCTTTTTTACTGCAGGAAAGGCAAATGTATGATTATAAGCATCTGGGATTCAAATATGGGCCCACACTCCTCACTCTCATATTAACTGTATCATAAGCTTGCAAGTCAACTCGTTTAGAAATGAGGTAATGTTCGATCAAGATTTGAGACTTCTTCAGAACCTCTTTCTGTAACAGAACCTCGCTGGACATTTTGAAACCACAAAGTGTCAGACCACATGAAGTTACAGAGTGGGTCGCCAAGTGCTGGGGCTCATAGTCCATAAACGTAGTGTTACCAACACTCTGCTAACTAAATAACTGCAGACTCCAAACTTCATTTGGAACTGGCATTAACATCAGCACAAAAACTGTGCACTGGGAGCTTCATGGCATAGGTTTCCATGGCTGAGCAGCTGCATACAAGCTTTACATCACTAAGCACAATGCCAAGCATTAGATGGAGTGGTGTAAAGCACGCTGGACTCTGGAGCAGTGGAAACAGATTCTGTTGAGTGATGAATCACGCTTCTCTATCTGGCAGTCTGATGAACGAGTCTGGGTTTGGCGAATTGCAGGAGAACATTACCTACCTGACTTCAATGTGCCAGCTGTAAAGTTTGGTGGCGAAGGTATAATGCTATAAGGTTGTTTTTCAGAGGTTGGCCAAGGCCCCTTAGTTCCAGTGAAGGAAAATCTGAATGCTTCAGCATTTTGCACAACTGTATGCTTCCAACTTTGTGGGAACAGTTTGAGGAAGACCCTTTTCTGTTCCAGCATGACTGTGCCCCAGTGCACAAAGCAAGGTCCATAAAGGCATGAGATGAACTAGAATGGAGATTGTGAGCCAGGCCCTCTTGTCCAACATCAGTGTCTGACCTCACAAATGCTCTTCTGGGTGAAAGGGCAAAAATTCCCACAGACACATTTCAAAATCTTGTAGAAATCTTCCCAGAAAAGTTGTAGCTGCAAAGGGCGAGCCAACTACGTATTAATGCCTATGGATTTAGAATGAGCTGTCATAAAAGCTGTAGGTGCGGAAAGTGGAATTTTTTGCCATTAATGCTTGATATGACGCTTCAGCTGCTCAACAGTCAGAGGTCTTTAATGTCATATATAGTGCTACATGATGCACCACACGTTTTCAATGGGAGACTGGTCTGGACAGCGGGCAAGCCAGTCTAGCACATGCATGTCTTACAACAAAGCTGTAACACATGCAGAATGTGGCCTGACATTGTTTTTCTTAAACAAGCAAGGACGTCCCTGAAAAAGACATTGTCTAGATGACAGTATATGTTGCTTCAAAATGCTTATGTACCCCTCAGCATTATTGTTGCCTTCCCAGATGTGCAAGTTGGCCATTGGTACAACAACAGCCCTATACCATTATGTGGTATTAGCATGGGTTTCGTCCTTGCTCAGGGTTCAGGCCCAGCCTTCCTGCTGGATCACTAGTAGTGGCACTATACCAGTTGAAATTCTTCCTAGGGTAGTAGCTACAAATAAGCATAGATAACACAACACACAAAGTGCAAATCACACTAAGCTGAATGGCTGAGACAGGTTTCATTCAGTAATCATCTCCTGCTGTGTAATCAGTTACAGTCTGAGTTAATGTTAGTCCAGGTTGTTTGTGACAGAGCGAACATTACAGGGATTTATGGAAGGAACGGCCAGTCTATGGAATATTTAGTTTACCACAGAACATGACAATGGTGATTTTTATTAAGAGCATTCACTTTTTCTCAAAGAGAAAACCAGCTTAGACCTGAAGTTTCTAATATGGGCATGATGCCAATTATGAGAACTTTAGAAGTCTATGTACAGTAAAATCTACTTTACTGAAAGCTAATAAAAGATCAAATCCCTCCATGCATGGTGAACAAGACTCTTGACTTGCACTGGACAGTCATAATAAAATTAGACTTATTGACAGCATGAAACCATACAAATTCACAAAAAAACAGTGGAGTAATGATCTGGATATACTAACATCACCATCTTTTTGCATTCAAAAACTTTTTCTTAGCTGGTGCGTTTAAGCACCTATTCTTGAATTATTCAGATTTTTCATGTCACTTGAAGCACATGTACAGTTTACAAATGTTATTGCACTCAGCCACTAGCAGATAAAATTCAGTTAACTTAGTGGCATATTTCATCAAAGATGATTCATTGATATAAATGTGTTACTGGCACATTTCAGTCAGCCATTGACATATGTCACTCCACTGGAAAATAACACTGTAGGCAGTCTTTTAGCAAACAATACTTGCCTGGCTAGTAAGCAAACTAATGATAATGTTATGGGACTATTAACCCCATAAAAATCCATATTAGATCAAATGTGGCTTGAAGTGAATGTGGCTTTGCACTGAAGGGGCAGTCAGTCCAAAAAAAATAAAAAATAAAAAATCAGACAAATGCTAATCGTCTGACACCTCAACTAACATACCAGTCACAGGATGACTTACTTCACCTCATACCTTTTAGCTGGAAACACAGTTTGTGAAGAGTTAGTTAGCTGATGCCAAATGTGATAAATCCACTAAATTGTGGTAAAAGTTTTATTCCATTAAATCTGTACAATTAGAGTATAAAATGAGTACTATCTGGTAACCATGTAGATCTAGTCAGCTGTGCAAACCTATTTTGTGAGGCTATGCCACAGATTAGGTAAAACCAAGGAAAGCAGACTGAACCCTGAACCAGCTAACCCTGCCACATTGGTGGATCACCCAGAAGACACAGTGTCAAGACATCACATTCCCAACTTTTATTCACACGGGCATCTCACTGCTGTGTGTGTAAATGAAATAAAACCAGAACTGAAGTTTCGGATCATGGATCGGCAGGCAAAATGGTCATGCGTTCAAAATGGAAAGAAATAAAATGCATAAGTTCTACTTGACAATTTATCAATAATTATTGATAATAAACATAAAATCAGTAAGCATTCCCAGCCCTACACATTTATGACTTCAACTTTTCATGCTTTTACTATGTTTTTGCAGTTTAATAAATAATGCAGAGTGCCATTTCTATGTTTTTATTATGTTTTTATTATTGTTTAATAAAAACAAAGTTCGTTTTTTTTTCACACACTCTTGGAATAAAAATTAGTAGAAATCCACAAATCAGGACGAAGAACAAAAAAATTAGAAAAAATAGTAAGAAAATGGAATTTTGAGAAAAATAAAATGATTGCAGAGGCTCTAATTATGGCTCTTTCCTGTCATTAGCCACTTTTTTCCATGCTGACAACAGACAGAAGTCTGGCTTATGAGACTTGAATTGTCCTTCTATCATTAAAGTTCTGGCATGAGATGAATTGTTTTACTTATAATGGACAGGGGAACCTTGGGAATCCTCCCTGCCATAAGTGCTCAAGCCAAGTTTGACAATAACTGTCCTCATTCTCTCAAAACGCCACTGGATGTGGAAAATCTACTGTTCATGTGACTGTGGGAGTTTTATTGCCAAGCTTGAACTGTGAGCGAGCTTGTAAAGTGAACAGCCATCAGGTCACATTTGCATCTCAGAGTTGGGATCACTGTCGAATGGAACAATGTGTACGAAGATGTGGAAAGTCAGAATCGCAAATGGACTCCCTGGTGTGTTGGCAGAGGCAATACGTGAGCAAACAGATACTTGTACAAATTAATAGACCATTTGGATAGTGGCTTTATTCTCAACCACACAAGAAATAACATAAAGAAAGTTTTGGAGGACAAAAAAAAGGAATTTGCAGGATCTGATCTCTATCCATTGACCTTTTATACCATGAAAAGAATATAACCTGAGCAACATAAGAGATTGTGTGAGATGGCAATCAAGTTCTATCAATTATGTTATAGCAAGACAAAAGCTAAACCGTGTAGTGACGTAACATGCCAAGACTGACCATGTCCATCTCTGATCTCCAGTCCAGTCCAGTCATTTTTCACTTTTAGAAATATTTTAGAAATATAAAACCATTGAACATTCTCAGTTTGTTCACAATGTGAGATGCAGTGTGTTTTGCAATCTGTTTATGATTATGAAATGTGCTTGAAAAGACAAATCAAACTGGCTGACGTGTAAGAGTCCTTCTTTTGTGTGAAGAAGACAGAAGATAAAATAAACATAGTTAGGTTCCTCAGTAAAGACAGCCACTGCTTTTAATAAGAAAAATAGAGATCATTGGCAACACTTCTGTTTTGGGGAGCATGTTCTTAAAATTTCAGCCAAAAAAAAAGAGCACACTATTGGAGGCTGGGATAGGCTCCAGCACCCCACCGCGACCCAGAAGGATAAGCGGTTTAGATGATGGATGGATGGACTATTGGAGGCATCTTACCATCAAAAAATTGCTGGAGGGCCTCATTTTCACCAAGTACATCCATTGGACCTTCTCCAAACCTTCTGGGCTCCACCGTGCTCCACCTGTTTTGGTAGATAATTGTTAGTGACTTATGCTTCTGTAATTTACAATTCACTTTTTTATTTTTTTCCCCGTTTGTTTTAGATGACCACTTTCACTGTTCTATAGTGTGACTTTTCAAAATTAGCATGTTCATATTAGGAGTACCACATACATGCACTCAGGGAGGTCCACAAAAGAAACACTGCACAAAAGTGAGGGTTTTTCAAAACATTTAACAACTTAACCTGTAGTGCTAAAGATTAAGATACAATAAATCATCTAGACTAACTCTTCATGATGATGGACTAAAAAGCTACAGCCAGCTGAATGACATCAATCTTCACACAAAATATTTGGTGAGTTATCAACAATAGCTAAAATATGAATTAAAAACGCATATTCACTATACTAGTTAAAATCCTTTTCAGTGCTGTTCAAAACTAAATCAACAGGCATCAATATCTCAAAGTCAGTTCTCTGGATTTTTACACATTGTGGCTAATGAGATGACAAGGGAGCAAAATGTCTATGTGGTTTATCGTGTTGGAATACTCCAGTTGGATCATATTTAAAGGGATTAAATGAGTTGAGATGTTAATTGGCAGGCCAACGTAGTACTTTGTGGCCCACGGGAAGGATATCTGAGAACGATGCTTCCACTATTGCTGTTCATAGCATTGTATAAGGTACGTAGAAAGTGCTCAGCAAGAATTCTTGTCTCTCTCACCCATTGCTTTTTCTAGTCACCAGTCCTGCCAGGAATGACTGATTTACTCCTACCTCAAATACTGATCCAAGCGACCTAGGGTTAAAATCTAAAAGTAAAAATCTTGTATTTACAACCACGTTTCAGGATGCTTAGAAAATCTAAAGTGAAAATAAATGCAAAACATTCCCTTATTGGACAGTTCCTTAGTGGAACTGGAAAAAGAAAATACCTGAAATAACCTACTTTGGCAAAAAAAAATAAAAAATAAATAAATAAATAATAATAATGTTGGCTGTTGTCAGTACCAACAAATACAACTCTTATTATGGCCAACAGTGCCATATAAACATCAGTTCCAATCGATGTCAGTAAAGGAAATAAGACAAACTAAAACTTGCCATCTGTAAGTGAAGAGTCAGGTTAATCAACTGCATGGACAAAATGGTTGGTTGAGTATCTTATCAGATAACGTCAAAGACAGATATTACCTTTTCCTTAAGATGGAGTTGCCAGGTTCTGTTGAAGTCTCAATTTGCCAAAAACAACTTCTTATTCAAGTGCAATCCATTTGGTGGTATTCCATGTAATTCCACAGGTGGTGAAATACCACAGGTAGTATTCCATGTAAAGTTTTAAAAACTCCTGAAAATAAATTTGTGTAGTTCCTTATTTAATGCAAATGGCGGCCGTCATGCCTCCTGAATCTAACACGTACTTTGTTCACTGATCTCAGAGGCAAAATCCATCCAACTTGGCCTGCGCAGGCGTACCTGTTTGCATGTAGAGGAGGGGCTGATGGCCTTGCTCCAAGCCATAAACGAAGCATTCTTTATGGCCTGGCAGACCTATTCTGGAAGAAACGCTAAGGAAAACCTCGCTTCCTTATCTAAGTCTGGCCATTAACAGCAAACAGAGCAATGACATCCCAGTGATATACTTTCCGTCTCAAACTTCCAACAACGCGGCAGGGCTCCTCTAGCCTGAAGCATATGGGGGTGTACAAAAAAATGGAAACACCACAAAAAATACTCATTGGCTGTTGTATCAGGAACACCTATCATATAGGTGCACTTTGTAAATTTACAATTAGTGACTATAGCCAGTCTGTTGCTGCACGATTTATTAACTCTATCCACTCTACCCAGTGCATCAATGGAAGAGGACCACCACAGAACCACCGCTGCCCAGGTATTTTTTGTTCTCAGAACAGCAGTGACACTGACATGGTAATGTGTGTGGTGTGGTGCTAGTGCATCAGACATGGCAGTACACTGTAAAAAATGTTTGTAGAAAGTACTGTAAAAAAAACTATCAAATAGCAACAGTAAAAGACTATAAAGTCCAAAATAGTATTTCACTGTAATAGATACACTGAATTACCCTAAATCAAGAAACAGTAAAAAACTTTAATTTTTACTGCTGTATTATGTAGAAAATACACAATTTAACCATGAAAATACAATTTTTTGGTCAGATTAATGGGAAAATACCCTAATGTCATAAGCAAGTAATCACCTTAAAATTGATGCTGTAATTCTGTTTAAATTACAGAATTTGTTGTTACAAATTCTGTAATTTAGAGCTGCTTCTGGAAACCTCGGAAGGATTCAAAACATGTAGCAGTAGTTTTCCAACCGGATATTTATTCAAACCTAATCCTAGAATCTGTGAATGCTGAACTTTCCATATGTCAAAATGAAAATAAGCACCACTTGCTAACATTTAAGTTAGCTAGCTAACGTTAGCTAGCTAGCCATTATATAAAATTTTGGTAGGCTAGCGAGTCACCTCTTTTAGATGACTGTTTGCTCTCTCAGAAATTTGAGAAAGGCACGTTTAAGTGGGACGGTGTCGAATTTCTGGTGTAGTAAACCGGTGTGTAAACTTGTTAGAGTTGCTAGCTAGCTAGCTAGGTTTGCTAAGTGGCCTAGCATAGCTACATACGTGCGAGCTTAGGCTAAGTTAATAACTCTGCTGGACGACCGGTTCACTCCAGCTAACCTGTGCTAACCCATGATTAATATGAGTTCAAATATGAACGGGAGACATCGAATGACTGGTGCAGGCTAATGGGCTCATAGACCATAGAGCAGATTTGATGCTTCTCTCACACGAGTTTAGAGAATAAAAACGTCAATCGGAGAGAGAGACGTCGATTGACTGGTATAGTTAAAACAGTAGGTTAATAAGGTCAACTGAGCTGAGATTTGGTAACTAGCTCTCAAGTGATTTTACATGCGAGCTAACCTAACTATCCTAGGTTATATCAGGCTAAAGTTTGTAAAATCTGTTCTTTCTTCTCCTTATGTCACTATTTTTAAAAAAAAATCCTATTTCAGGGTGTCTTTTTCTGCTACTTATAGGCCCCCTACCCCCTCCTCACACTGGCAGCTTCAGGAGCCTTTTCACCAGGGATGAACAAAGTACAAAACTTCTGAACTTGAGCAAAAGAAATTTTCTTTATTAAATATAAATGTGTAAAAATAAAAGTATTCTATTTGTCTTTACTTACAAAAGTTCTTGCTTTTAAAGTAAACTTTTTTTCAGAAATCATAATGCATCAGAACAATACTATTGTTTTTTTTTATTATTATTATTATTTTTTTTTTTTTACAAAAGTCATTATACTTCAAGATTATGGTAAAATAAAAATTCTTTCTCACATATACACACGCACAAAGGAATTGTGGACATTAGCAAGATTAACTAGCAAAGTGAAAAATATAAAGTTTCACTTTGATTTCAGATTGACTTTAAATGTACTTTATCAAAGTATCATAAGTAAAAGTAGTACAGAGAGTTATTGCAGTTATATAATTCTGGTGAATACTTTCAGATGTTGACTGAATACTTCTACACAAGTAGTATTCAACCCAGAGCATTTCTGCTTTTACTCAAGTTACTAACACCTGTCTTACACAACAACTAAGACGTTGTGTACTTTGTCCACGCTGCTCCTTGCTGACTACCTGCTCCAGAAGAAGCCAGAAAAAATATCTCTAAGGTATGAAAGCTTGAAAGCTTATACAAATGCACTTAGTCAACATAAATGTGCTTGTATCTATTTCAGTTGCTGAAGCTAGTCTTTTAACCCTTTACCAAATGTTTATCTTTTTACAGCCATCCTTTCACTGCTTCTAGTTCTTGACTGATCAGGAATTGTCCCAGGTACTTTCATTTATAGTGTCTTTATGGTATTGCTCTTTCTAATATTAGTACGTATTACACTAAATATTTTATTACATCTTTTAATAAAATATGTATTTTAAAATGTATTTGGGTTGCCTGCTTTGCTTTTTTCTTATTTTGCAAAACTGTTGTATGAAAGCAATATGACTGAAGGTTGTGTGCTATTATGAAAGACATAGAGCATGTTACTGTGAATAACAGTGAACTTTCTTGTATTATTTTGCATATACCTTTGCTTTTTCTTGTCACTTTGTAGATTTACTGTTGATACTGTTTAATATTTGTTCAGGATTCTTTATCCTTATGTTTTGTGTGGTGAGTGTTTGTTACTAATTTTGCTTACTTTTTTCTTCATTTTACATGCAGTCATGAGGAATCTATCTTCACAAACTGCAAGTGACAAAGAGATTGACCATAGACCTTCACATCTGTTAAGAGCTGAGTATATTTAGCAGGTAGGATTCAGATGTTCATTCACTTGCTGTCTCTCCCTCTCCCATACATACTGTACATATATGCTCACTGGCTATTTTTACAATACTCCTGACTTACAGACTGGAGTCCATCTGTTTCTCTGTATACATTGCTACTGCAGTGCTGAGAATTAACCAATAATACCTGCTTTGTGGTGGTCTTGGCGGGTCCTAATCATTGATGAATGATGTGAAAGGGGGCTATCAAAGTATGCAGAGAAAAAGATCAGCTACCGTTTGTAATTGCAGAACTACAAAGTGCACATATATATTTAATGGACCTGATTAAATAGAAAAAGTAAGTAAATACAAGGCAGTTTACCTAATAAAGTGGCCAGGAAGTGTATCCATAGTGATGTAATTTAATTGGTATTTTTTAAAAAAAAAACACCACTGTAACTGTTTGTTTATATTTTTTATTTAAGTACCTGCTATTCCACTCAATTTGTCTGAATTGTGTGCAATATTTACATATTTTGTTTAGGCAGTTAATGCAATTGTTTCTAAAGGATTTCTCGTGTAATCAATTCATGCATGCTTACCTGTAAACACAGGTGAGCTTTAAGAATTGTTAACTTTTCAAGACATGATGCAGTATGTACTGGCTTAATATATGATAATGTGTATATTACTTTCTTAGAACAGTGGCAGATTACTGATTGATCAGCTGTGTTCAGCTGTGTTGTACTACTTCTCCTCTTTGCTTGAGACTAGTTGTACTTAGTACAACAAACATTCTTATGTTAGCTCAACTAAGTATTTTAGTACTGACAGATATTGGTCAGTAAAACTAGTAATTTACGGATGTTGAGCGAACAAGATAAATCTATATATGTATACTAAAATGTAACATTTGGCTGCTGGGGTGTTTCTAGGTTATTGCTAAGGCAAACTAGTTGGTTACCAGATAGTGCCAGGTGGTCATTCGGGTGGATTAGTTGGTTTCTCCTATATATACTTTATTGGAACTCAGTTTAACAACAGAAGGCCTGGTGTTTATCTTTGTGTAGGCATCATGCTCAAGCACTGCATCAATCTAACTTTTACTTTGTTTCTGTTTTCTGGCTACAGAGAGGGTCATGCCAGTCTGTAGTGAACACCTGATGGTCAACATGTGAGTCTTCATGCAGAACTGGTGACAGTGCACAGTTTAAGTTCCAGTCGTCATCCAACATCATGTCCATGTGAGACTCTATCCCATGTTGAGCACCCTTTTCGGTCAAGTTTGGACTCAGTGACTAATTATTCTTGGTCAGCCAGGGCAAGTGGCTATTTTTTTTCATGATGTTTATTCATTCCACCATGGATTCTCCTTTATATATATATATATATAAACACGTGCTGTTTTTTCAACATCTTAACACCACTTTGTTAGTATCCTGGGCAAGTGATTGGATCATGCAAGAAAAGTTTCTTAAAATTTATCAAAATACTCTGTACCTATATGTTATTTATGTATTATTTGTGTTATTTGTTGTTTCTTTTGTTATCGTTAGCAGTTGTTGACTGTTAAATCTATACCTATTAATTGTAATTCCTTACGTGCTATACCGTATTTTTTGCAATGAAATTCTGGCAAACACAGCTGCCAGTAATTTACTGTAAAGTTGAACTTTGCAATAAAATACTGTAATGTGTCATACGGTTGTACTGTGTTTTATCACTGTTATACTGTAATTATGTTAACAGTATATCTGATTTTAATGTAATTTACTGTGTACAGATTTACAAGAATTTTTCACAGTAATTAACCATAAACAAACAACAGTTCTCAACAGTGAAATTTACGATTGCCAAAAAAGCATACCATAATGTTTTATACATTGTCACTATATTTTTTACAGTGAAATTCTGGCAACCAGAGCTGCCAGTATTTTACTGTAAATTTCACTTTTGTTTTTTTAAACAGTGTATTGCTGGAGAGATTTAAATTGTACAGTGCTCTTTAACAAGGGGCACTGTCATAAAGCAGCTTTACAGAAATCTGGGTCAGTAAAGTAAAAAACTTCCTAAGTGCAAGAGGAGGATATCTTAAAAGGAACCAAGACTCAAAAGGTAAACACTCTGGTCGACAGGGAATACCAAAACAATAATACAAGAAGAGCATCTAAATAAAGAATGTAGAATTGATAATGAATACACAATAGTGAGTACTGAATTTAGAACAGAACTGACCCTTTCTTTAGATTAACCAATAAAAAAAATCATGTCATGTTAGTACGAAACTGTAGAGAACTCAGCATGGTGTGAGGCAGGGGAATAATGTGCAAGATTTAAGAGTTCTTTATAGAGTCTGTGCATGCACCAATCTCATCAGGATGGTGGTTGGGGCATGCAGATGAGGCATTTCTGGCACAGCAGGAGTATATGTCTACTTTAACATATCTGTATCACTAAATAAATGGTTTCAGATCATTATACAAAATGCACTGCAAAACAATGAGAACACAAAACAGTTTTTTGGTGACTAAAAAAAGTTTTGCAACACCTATACCAGTGGTCTCCAACCGTGGTCCTAGAGAGTTACCTTCTTGCAGAATTTGGTTCCAACCTGTTTCCAGTAAGCTGCCCCTGCCTCTAATACATCTGATGTCTCTAATCACAGTTTTGGAAAGAGGTTAATTTGCTGAGCAGATGTTGCAAAGTGGGTTGGAACTAGGCTTTTAAGGAAGACCAGGTTTAGAGACCACTGACCTATGTAATCCACAAGAAAAAGTAATTGCCCCTAAACTTAATCATTTGTGCCACCTTTAGAAGTAACAGCTGCCAAAAAATCTTCCTATAACTAGGAGATTAGTGTTTTACTTCTCTGGCACTCTTTGCAGAATTGCTTTAATTCAACCACATTGGAGGGCTTTCAAGCATGAACTGCCTGTTTAAGGTCTTACTATAGAATCTCAATGGGGTTCAATCAGGACTTTGACAAGGCCACTTAAAACCCTTTTATTTTGTTTCATTTGATGCATTCAAAAGTTGACTTACTCTTATTCTTTGGATTGCGGTCTTGCTGCATACCCCAGTAACGCTTGACCTTCAGATCATGAACTGATGGCCAGACATCCTCTTGCTGGATTTTCTGGTGGAATGCAGAATTATGGCAAGTCAGCCCAGCCCTGAAGCAGTAAAGCACCCCCCCCCATCACTGCATTACCACCATACTTGACCGTCACAATTATGTTCTTACTGTGGAATGCTGCGTTAGCTCTACATCAGACCCCAGTCCTCCAAAAAAAATTTACTTCTGACTTAGCAGTCCATAGAACATTATTACAATAGGCTTGGGAGTAATCAAAGTGTTTTCTTGGCAAATAAGAGATGAGCCTTTACTGTTCCTCTTCGTTAGAAGTGGTTTTTGCCTCACAAATCTCCCATGTATGCCATTTTGCCCAGTTTCTCTCTAATGGTGGAATCATGAGCACTGACCTTACTAAGGTGTTGTCACTATGCTCTTGAAGGGACTGCAGCAGGCTGGCCACTTCTGGGAAAATTTACCACTGTTTAAAGTCTTCTACAGTGTGGTGTGCTGAAATCCCAGAGCCTTAAACCCTTTACAGACTAAATCACTTCACTAAATTTCTTGTGCTTTGGCATAATTTACTGGTTGGTTAGACCTTTTAGTCTACTTCACCTTGCTGGAAAGATTCCATTTAAGTGATGTTTGGATTAAACAGGGTTGGCAGTAATCAAGTGTGGGCAGGTCTAGTTTAATTGACTCCAATTATCACCTAAACTTAGTTAACTGAGTAAACTACAGGGGCAATTATGTTTCTACACAGGGCCAGTATTTTGTAAATACCCTGTATCTCAACTAACAATGTGTTATACTATGTGTAATAAAGACTGAGCAAGACACAGCTTTCACAGCTGAATAAAGACCAGAAAAAGTAGTCAGAGGTATACGATTTTATTCAGTGTTCCAAAAAGGCACTAAAATCAAAATGGGGGAAGCTTGATGAAATTTGGGAGAAAGCACACAAACAACCGATGAGACAGATCAAGAAAACATATGTACGGCACATTCCACACAAACACACATAACATCACAGCAACACACTGCTAGCTAAATTTAGAATGAACTGAGAGAGCTCAAGTAAAATTTATTGGTGTAGACCAAAACTTTTCATTGTAAAATGTACAGATTTCACAAGATGTCCTCTCGAATGTAAATCCAAAACCAACATAGATTTCACTTTTTTCCTTCAATTGATGGAGATAATCAGATTGACTTCAGCAGTGTGTGTTGTACTTTAAATAGCAAGAGGACTCAATATACCGTAGGCTGATCACACATACTGAATACAGAGCATACACACTGGGCATGTCTGCTGGAAAGAGATGCAATGCTGGAGTGTTGAGATGGATGATAAAAGAGGTGGTCCCTGTGAAGCTTCTTTTGAGTTGACAGGAGAAATCTTGTTTCTCTTCTCCAATGACATATGAGGGCATTCCTCTCCTCAAAGCTGACTGGTCACAGTTCATCTCTGTAGTAGCCCAGCTTGGCGTAAGACATCTCCTTCCGTAGTTGCATGACCTCCCAGAACATTTGTTCAGCTAAAACAAGAAAACAGCCAAAAGATATTTTTTAAATAACAATAATAAATCTCTAATATCTTCAAAGGCATTGCTTTCAGATATGTCTGACTCCTGATTATTATAAACTAGATACCAGAAGGTATTTATGCCAGCAACACATTCCAAAAAAGTTGGGACAGGGGCAACAAAAGGCTGGTAAAGTTGTGTAATGCTTACAAAAAAGACCTGGTGGTTAATTGGCAACAGGTCAGTAACATGACTGGGTATAAAAAAGCATCCCAGAGAGGCTGAGTCTTTCAGAAGTAAAGATGAGGAGGGGTTCACCCCTCTGTGCAAGATCAAATAGTGCAACAATTCAAGAATAACGGTGGCATTTTCAACATAAAATAGCAAAGAACTTACTTATGTTTCATCATCTACGGTACATAAGATTCAGAGAATCTGGAGAAATCTCTGTATGCAAGGGACAAGGCTGAAAAACAATATTTGCTGGCCGTGATCTTTGGAACTTCAGGCGGCACTGCATTAAAAATGGACATGATTCTGTAGTGGAAATCACTGCATGGGCTCATAAAAATGTCTGACAAACACGGTCTATGAAAACAATTCGGCGCTGCATCCACAAATGCTAATTAAAACTCTTAAACGCAAAGATGAAAGCATATATGAACAGGATCCAGAAATACTGCCACCTTCTCTCATTTAAAACGGACTGAGGGGAAGTGGGAAAGTGTCCTGTGGTCTGATGAATCAACATTTGAAATTCTTTTTGGAAATCATGGACACTGTGTCTTATAGGCTAAAGACCACTCCGCTTGTTATCAATGCACAGTTCAAAAGCCAGTATTCATGATGGTATAGGGGTTCATTAGTGCACATGGCATGGGTGACATGCACATCTGTGAAGGCACCATTAATGCTGAACCATATATACATGTTTTTGCAACATATGCTGCCATCCAGATGACATCATTTTCAGGGAAGGCCTTGCTTATTTCAGCAAGGGAGTGTAAAACCACATTCTGCATGTATTATAACAGCATTGCTCTGTATTAAAAGAGTCCGGGTGCTAAACTGGCCTGCCTGCAGTCCAGACATGTCATTCACTAATAACTTTTGGCACATTAGAAAATGAAAAATACGACAAAGGAGACCCTGAACTGTTGAGCAGCTGAAATTCTATGTTAGGCAAAAATGGGAAAACATTTCACTTTCAAAACTACAGCAGTTGGTCTCCTCAGTTCCCAAACGCTTACAGAGTGTTGATAAAAGAAGAGGTGATGCAGCACAGTGGTAAACATGCCCCCGTCCCAACTTTTTTGGAACATGTTGCAGGCATCAAATTCCAAATGGAGATTTTTTTTTTTTTCAAAAAAACAATAAAATTTCTCAGTTTCAACATTTGATTTGTTGTCTTCGTACTATTTGCAATGAAGTGTAGGGTTTAAATGATTTGCACATGGTTGAATTTTGTTTTTATGTACATTTTGCACAGTGTCCTTACTTTTTTGGGAATGGGGTTGTATGTTAAAGCTGTTTCAAGACATGGTGTTCCGCAATCTCCCATTTACTCCCTTTTAAACTTCACAGAACGTTTTCCGCCATGAGGGATGCAGTTTTCCCCTAAAAGTCAATCTGGACCAGTTTTTGCAGACCTCATCACAGTATCAACTTACACAAATGTTTATAATTTTGAGACGATCGGACCAATGACTGATGAGTTATTAAACCTATCAATGCCATGGCCACAAAGATTAATTGATTGGAGTGAGACCATGATAAGTATCTTGTTAGTAATTTTTAAAGCTGTATCGTATGGCTGCATTCATGGTCTGGTACTGCCCTCTGCTGGTCTCTCTCTCTCTCTCTCTCTCTCTCTCTCTCTCTCTCTCTCTCTCCCTCTCTCTCCCTCCCTCCTGATGTGTCAGCAGATCTAATTGCTTAGCCTAACTCGATGATCGAAGTGAAGAGTGGCTTATAAAAACACTGCTGTCAGACACATTCTACTTTACTTTCCTTAGTGTGAGCTCACAACGACTGTTCTTGCGGCGATTGCCTTTTTGTTGTCGATGAAATCGATGAGCTCAAAATAAAAAAAGGCTGGAAATAAAAACTATAGTGTGTGGTGGCCATATGAAAACATTAGCTGCCAGAAGGAGGAAATCCGCTTCGGGATAGAGAACCATAAAAGATAACAGATATTCTTAGAATAAACACGTAACATACACGCGCCATGTTTGTTATCGGAGATTCCAGCCAACGAGGGTGATGTTCTAACGTCACAAAGATGTGTTCTAGCTCGTGCAGCAGATGAAAAGCAACTGCTGTGTCTGACTTCAGAAACTGTAGCCGCCTTGCTCCTGACAGATTTTAATGCCATGTGACATGGTGAACATGGAAGCATATCAGTATCAAAATTAAAATTTCATTTCATTTAAACAGATATTTAAATGCTTCATGAGTAGCTTTATTTAAATTAAAATGTATTTCCAGAACTGCATATTTGTGCTTAACGTGATTACGCAATAATTGTGTCAAAAGGATAATTAAAATGTAATTTATCATATATGCATTTTCACTCTCTAATAATGCATTTAAACTGCATTTAAACAACAAGCTAGAAAGATGGCAAAATGAAAACGTAAATGGGAACAGGCGCCTCTCTCCTTTGCAAATTACATACTGGTCACCTACTGGGGTCATTCTGTGGCAAAATGCCTTTGAAAATGCATTTGACCAGATCACATTTTCTTTTTCATGGACTGCCCAACCTGTCCATCATCCCAGTATCAAAATTAAACTGTAAAATATTAAATTTTCATTTTAATGTTCATACTGATGTTTCCATATTAGACGTTCTGCAGCGCTAAGGTCTGTGAACTGAGCAAGAGTTGCTGGAAAGCCGTATGACTTTTCTGTCAAAATAAAACACAGCTTGTTAAATACTATATTCTAATAGAAAGAAATCGATATCTAAAACAATTATAGCAGCATAATTCATATTAGATGAGAAAAACGTAAGGTAAGACTCTGTAAACTGGCATTTCATTATGACCGTTAGTGCTCTTGTAAGTAACAATGATTAGCTTGCTAATTTTACTGAAACTCGCTATTTTAGGTTTGAGCAAAATAATGTTGGCAAATCTAAGCAATTTAGCCACGCTGTTTCACTACATTTGACTGCAGAAATCCTGCTGATAATAATAATTATGATTAATATGGGTCTTTGAATCAGTGGTACCACATTTTGTATTAAACAAATATTTAACATTACTTGATAAGTAAACATAAGATTTTGGACAATTAATCTGTAGACACTATATTTAATCTAGTGTTGCTGGGAAATAATGTTCTGTACAGTGAAGAATTTGATATTAATTGGGACAAAACCACCATATCCACCATAAGTGGATTTCAGTATTTAATTTTTGCGGCTTGGTAGAAATATGCACTGTTGTAGCAAGCTCATTCTGTATTTACCCTATATAACTCGGACCCCGTTTCTTTCTCATATTGCTACTCAAGGTCTGTCAAAGTTGCAGTTGCACTTCAGTGCTATTTGCCTTAAGTGGTATAAGTGGTCTTACTGTGATCAGTGCTGAACACCTGATATTGATTAGGTGTCACTAATGTCACTGTAAACTGAATAAAACGTAAATTGGTAATATTGTAAAACACTGATATTCAGTCGGGGAGAAAAGAAAACAATATAATTCTTTATTACAAACAATGATTTAGCAGTCAATATATCAAATGGTAATGTGGTACACAAAATATTAAACAGTCAGATACAGACAGTCCTAAGTGTCTGAAATCCACTGATTTTGTCTATTCCCCTAGTACCAATCGTGGTGCCAGTGGCTGAAAGACCTATATTTTCCTTCATGATTCCACTTTTATTAAAGAATTTAATGTCATGACACAGATCATTTCAATGAAGTGCCAGCACAAAACTATTTCCCAGCAAAACTAATTTTAGTATAGGCATTACAGACAAAATGTCTGAAATCCACTGATTGTGTTTTTGCCAAGTACAAAACATGGTGCCAGTGGCTGAAAGACATGCACTTACCTTCATAATTTCACTTATATTAAAGATTTATATGGCCTGAGTCAGATCATATCAATAAACTGCCAACGCAAAACTGCATTTCCCAGCGACACTAGTTTTAGTATAGGCATTACAACCGAAATGTCTAAAATCCACTGATTTTGTCTATTCCCAGAGTACCAAATGTGGTGCCAGTGGAGGAAAGACCTACATTTTCCTATATAATGCCACTTCTTCTATCTCAAATTACATTAATAAAGTGCCAGCATAAAACTGTATTTCCCAGCAACACAATTTTAATAGAAAAATTAGAGCTGAAATATCTGAAATCCACTTGTTTTGTGTATTTGCCTAGTACAAAATGTGATACCAGTGGCTAAAAGACATATTTTTTCCTTCATAATGCTACCTTTAATTAAAAATTGATGTGTCCCAAGTAAGATTATATTAATAAAGTGAATACACAAAACTGTATTTCCCAGCAACGCTAAATAAAAAATACTTTCTCCTTTATATCTTGTTTATTGATTATTTTTACACTAGTTCATAATTTTAATCAGTGTTAATAAGTTTTTAATTCTCTATTTTATTTAAATAATTCATAATTTTCAAGTCACAAAGTCAAAAACGTACACCCTTATTTTGACAGAATTTCAAGAAAGTTGGACTAAATTTCTTGTAATAATAATAATAATAATAATAAAAACATGCACAAGTAGTTGCATGAAAATCGCTGCTGGCCTTAATTTAGCCTGACCTAAAAAAAAATATATATATATTTTAGTCATTCAAGTCAAACGCGGTCACTGTGGAAAATGCTGTGTTTTAATGAATGTTGCTTGCCTTGTGATGTATTTTTGGAATCATGGACCAGATTTTGTTTTTTGCTAATAATTTGATTCAGTGTTAGTTTTTACATGGCTTTCATTTCTGTTTGATACTTTCAGAATGGTGGTAATACCTCTACTAGTCACAACCTGTTTACCTACAGTGGGAAGTCAGTTAGGATAATGGTATTTTGTTTATATTTTTCTTTTCAATTAGGGATGCTAATAATGTGGTGTTTACAAGTTTTGTTCATTATTTTGACAGTAGTTCACTCTAAAGCCAAATCCTTGTGACTTTTTACCTGTAATGTCAATAATACAAGTTTTTTTATACTGAAGCACTTGAACTGTTGTGCTGGTCTATTTCTTTTATATTTCAAAACCCTAGACCAAAATGTGGTAAGTTTTCAACTTGGTGAAAAGACGTCGTCTGCTGCACGTTTAAGGAGTGTCTCCTGAAATTTAGAGAGTTCTTGATGATCTAGGGACTTTTTTTAAGAAGAGAATCGAGACCGTCTTGTTTTGCTTTTAATCAATCAACTCTGTTGAGAGCATTCCAGTTTCAAATGTATCATTTTTAAGTTTTAATTCATAATGATTATAATTTTGTTTTTAACTGTTTTTATATTTGTGTGTTGTTTCCATTTACTTGTTATCCTTCGCAAAGTATGGAGGACCAGATTTGCCAAATTGAAAAATAAATAAAATATAAAAATAAATGGCTCAGTAAATTAACCAATAAATAAAAAAAAAAATAAAAGTATATATTGCTTATTGTGATTGTAATTATACACACATTTCTTTTTTCTGCAGTTATATATTTCTCAATTTATTTATTTCTGTATTATTTATTTTGTTTTATTAATGCCATTTTTATATTTTTTCCATATCTATATTTTTAACAATTGTTCGCTTTATTCATTGATTCATGCATTTATTTATTTATTTTATCAATTCATTTATTTATTTTTTCATTAATTCATTTATTTATTTCTGTATTTCTTCGTTCATATGATAACGAGGGGGCGTCGACCTCTGTATCAGCAGAGGCAGCAAAATGGATCAAACTGTCCTCACAGTCTCCACACGAAAGAGTAAATAATCCGGACCTGCATTTTCAGCCAGATCAGCCGAGAGTCTCAGATCTCTGACTGTCTGCTGCTGTAAGAAGCCATTATTGTACTGTCTTGTCCTTAGTTACCGCTGAGAGAGCAAGGCACGTACAATCGATCAACCAATAGGAATATTAAGACATTGTGACATCATTGACTGACAGCCCCTTTATTAGCATAAGGACAAGGAAATACAGAAATAAATAAATATAAAAATTAATAGTTATGGAAATAAATTAATAAAACAAATTAATAGAAAAACAGAAAAAATGTTAATAAAGAAACATATAAGTAACAAAAAAAAATACAAAAAATAGTGAGAAGGGGAAATTACTAAATAGACAAATAAATAAATGCAGATATTAATTTATATAAGATTTTAATAATATATTAATTGTTATGTATATTTATTTATTTTTTATTATTTATTATTTTTATCATCATTATTCTTTGCAATTCTACATCATATATTAATTTACTAAGTCATTTATTTTTCATTTTATTTATTTTTCATTTTGGCAAATCTGGTCCTTCATAGCAAAGCACTTTGTAAACTTTGTTTAAAAAAAAAAGGTGCTATATAAATAAATGAATAATAATTAGTATTATTACATTGATTGCTTTGCTATCCTGGTTATCTTAAATAAATGTAAAGTTTAGATTTCAGTATTTCACTTTTTGCACATAACCTCTAAAGATGACCCTATCAGCTGATCTGTGAACCATTTTCCAAAAGCATCAACTCAGCTTTTAGATAGTTCTGTATAGCAGAGATAATTCAGCTAGCTGGCTACCAGGCATACTAACATTAGCAATGAGACCAGCTATCTAAGTCACTGCTTTTAAGTTGAACAGTAGTCAATATTTCAAATTACTTACTCCATTAGCAGTAGTGCTGAACCTTTAATTTACCTTTTAACACTATTGTTAACTGATGTACGAAAGTAAAACACCACAGAACTGCACAAAAAACAGGTGCTATCTTTTGGTTGTTTAAATGTATACCAACAATGATTAGTGGATATAGCATTAACATTATCATGCGAGTGTACAGTAAACTGGGGCACCAACATTACCATTACGTAATTCTGCAAAGGCTATCTTAATATGTTTGTATTCTATGGAACACTGGAGATACTTCAACCGTTTCCAGTGTAAACATTCTGCATTTTACTTTCAAGAAGCATGGCTTTAGTTAATTATAATACCACATACTACCATTTGAGAATGTCATAATCATTAATCCACTAGCAGACTAGTCAACACTGCAGCAGTGCTTCATTCTGTGTTCTTGGCTTAAATAAGCTCACTTTTCACTTATCAGTACATTTGTTTGCCAGCCAGACTAGAGAGGCAACTGCAGGTTTAGGAATCGAATCCAGTGTGTGACTGTGTGTGTGGGACCCATTAAAGTAGCTCACCATCCTGCTGTTTCACCAGTCCTTGGTGGATATAGCGAATATAAGTGAAGAAGTTGCAGACAGAGGTTATCTAGGAAAAGGACAAGGAAAGTTCAAGCATTAAGAACAACCCACAACTGCAGGAATAAAGGTCTACATGCAGTTCACTCTGTTAAACTCTTGGACCTGAGGACATCTTATACTGGATCTGTTTGCACATTCCCTTCTCAAAACAGAGAACTTCAAAATTACCTAATGAGATTAAACAAAGATCACAGAAAACATCAGACAACTACCACTGTATCCATTACATAATTTCATACTTTTCAGACAAATATACTTAAAGGGCCCATAACCTCCTTTCCTATCCATTTTTTCCTTTCAGCATCTTGAGATCCAATTATGATATAAAACCAGTCCATGACTGTTTTTCAACCTCTCTCTCTCTTTTGTGCTATTTTGCTATTTTTTGTTAATGTGCATTTAGGACTGATACATGTAAATGAGCTCTGTTCTGATTGTCTGCCCTCATTCAAACAGCAGTCTGTGCTAAAACACTACTTACAGCTTCAGTGTGAATGGGCGGGGTTAAACTTGCTTTAGGCAGACAGATGGTTATGTGTGTAAAGTGTACAGGTAAAAATTGAACAACAGTTTTGTGTATATAAAACCACACAAACATCATAAGTGGAAAAATATAGGATGCGGGCACTTTAAAGTATCATTTCTCTTTTTGGTTGAGTATGTTGATGTAATGATGTAAACAAGCACTGAGTTGTAGTTTTAGCAAGAAGACTTGCTGCTCAGAAAACCAAAACAAAACCAAAAATTCAAACATCCTTTAGCAACAGAAATGGGTTTTTTTTTCACAACAGCATTTAAGTAAGCATTTAACGAAGATAATCTGCATAAAATCAGAACATTTCATTAAAACGTTTGCAATCACAGAACTGTGATGTATTTATAAGGTTAAGACAAATGCTATAGATACAAACTCAGAAATATGTGAAAAACTACGTGACTCTCCTTTGGATAAGCCACATAATAAAAGTACTTAATAGTGGCTGTTTGCAACCAGAGCACCAAGCTTCTCAGTGTGAACAGCAGCTTAATAGAATTATAACTGTGATGGACGTACTCACCCGATACCTACAGAATGGGGACACATAGTAGTAGTTGCTGGAGTCCCCAAACTTGATTCTGTGCTTGCAGGTTTTAGTCTGGCCACTGAGGGCGCATTTTCTGCAGATGAGAAAAAAAGGGTAGTTCTATTTAATTTCTTCAAATACACATCTGTACATCTGGGAATCAGGAGTAACTGACGCAAGGTGAAAATCAAGCAAGTTCATGGGTGCTATCCTGACCTTGTCCTACATGAGATCTACATACTACTAACACACCAACCAGTTAAGCAGAACTGCTGCTTAAACATATCCTCCAAAAACTGAGGAAAAAGCTCAAGAGACAGAAGGAGAGCTAACAAAGGACTGCATGGAGAATGATGAAAGGAAAGGAGGAGACAGCAAGCAAAACAGAAAGAGAGACAGAGACAGAGAGACAACAGACAACACTGACCACTTACGTGACTATTTCAGACCTCCTGCCACTAGGGGGTGCCCATTTGAATATGAAGAACATAACAGAAAGAAAGAAAGAAACGAAGAAAGAAAACAGAAGAGATGGAAAAAATGCTGACACAGGCAGCCAAGCAGACAGTTCAAAGAGAAGCTTATGGGAAGACGAGCTGTGAAAGTGAGAGCGGGTGAAAAGCACGAGTTCCACAGTGGTTTTGCCCTTGTGTTCTGAAGGCAAATGGAATAATTTAAGAATAAGCCATCCGTCTGCATGATTTATTGCTAGTATATTGTGGTGGCTGTCAAGAAAACAATATTACACAATACTATATTAAGGCTACCAAACTGACTTTTTGCATCATTTCATGAGGTTCACAACATTTGATTTTCTCAGGACTGCAGACATTATTAATTTTCCAGCTTGAAACTCCATCTCAAATATTACTAAAATGTTGTATCAGCATCAGATCTTCCCCATGCTCAAATTTCCACATCAACACTGTATCTTTTCAAAATTAAACCATAAATATAATATATACCATTTTTTTCTTAACATACTCATAAAATGATGTTCTGTCACATTAGGTGACTTGTTGAGAAGTGACACGAGGTAAGCCTTCAGCAGAGCACAGACTAAAAGTTCTGCTTTTGTTCAGCATTGATAATTTGTTGTTATCTCTCCTGGTCAGCCTGCTTTAATGAGGACAGAGTGCAGTCCAGTTACAGAGAATATAGAATACAGACCAGTTAAAAATGGCCTGTTATTGGTAACCAGCTGTCTAATTCCTCTCCTGGTTGCACTTTACAGGCATAGATTTCAAAGCTAACAGCTACACAGTAAAGATGAGTAAAAATTGCCTGCTTTTTGCTGACCTAGCTGTTTATCCAAAACTGTTCAGCTTGTGAGACAGAACCGCATTCATTCTGCAGCATAAACTGTGTTGCTGTGTGTAGTCATGAACACTGCTCTTGCTCTTGTCATTTTATTTTAGACCTGTGTTTATGATCATGTTTAGTTTACTGAGCAAGACTTGTTATTTACCTGTTAATTTTCCTTCAGGGTTCATTTGTTTGCTGTGTAGTTAGTGGAGGTTATCTCTGCTCTTTGACAGTCAAGTGCACTGTGTTCAGTTCACGCACCGCAGGAGTGAGCTGTAGTTGTGGCTGAACCTGGTTTTCTGTTGCTATGGATACCAGTTCTGCCCCCACTGATCTAAAGCATGCGTGGACCGGCAGAAGTCGGAAACATTATGAGCATTCAGGTTCATTAGTAGGTTGTTTTGAGGAGAGATGGAAAAATGCATGAGAAATGTCAAGTGTGACGTGAGACCTTGAGATTACACCTAAATGCCTATGTCTCACGGTCAATTCGTGAGAGTTGGCAGCCCTGCTATATAAATCCATTACCAGACAAGTTCACAGTCTCACGATCTTATTTCAGCAACGTATGCACAGATACTCTGCATTTGTGCCTTCAATTTAATTTAATCAGTCTGCTCCATTACTTAGAAGAGTTCATGGCTTGTAATCACAATACCTTTTAGTGCTGAGAATTCTAACTTTTCCCTCATTTAATGAGTGTGATTTAGACAGGCTTGCAGCTTTAGAGGGTTCTTGATTTTAGATGTTGCAGTTAGGATTTAAGACATCAGTGCAGTATTTTTAAACCAGTGAAAAAGTCTCTGTTGAGTCCAAATAAACTTTAAGCTACATATAAATACCATCCTCTACTACCTAAACAATTGCTGCATCACAATTCATCGAAAGACTCAGAAGTTACTCAGAAGCACGCTAAACAGTAATCTTTTGCTGGTGTCTGGTAAATAACTACATTTTTATTTTAATTTTTCACTTTCCAAGCCCTATTGTAGGTACAGATTATACTGCAAATACAAAATGCAGTAACCATTACACCATATACACTGCAGCATGCAATTATTGCAAATCTCACATGTATGCCTATGCAATACAATGAAGAAGCAACAAATTTAAAAACAATGGCAGCAATGGCGTGGAGCGTAAGCCTTGTGCTGCTTCCAACTGAACTGTCCACATTACTGTGGGTGACAAGATTTTTCTTTCTTCATATTGTAATTTGCTGAAAATAAAGCTTCTTAATTAAAAATAAAACAAAATAAAAAACAAACTTTAATATTCTTCTATAGTCTTTTGTGGATATTAACCAGAAACAGCCTTACAGCTCAAGGGGAAATGTCCTTCCTACTGACCATTTCTTACTTTACGGGTGATCGGCAGTACTCACTTGGGCCCCCCACACTCCACGGCTGAGGCTTTAACTACAGGTAGCGGCTGGAATCCCACCGGCTCCACACTCAATGTGTTCCGCTCCACTGCCTCCAGGATCGCTGACCCCAACTATGGACAGTAGAAACAACAGGTTGGATCAGTAAAAAATAAAATGAAAATAAAATGAATGATGTTTCTTGGACGCTAAGGACCAAATGTAACTTGTTTTTTAATTTGTGCATGGGCTAAGACTACATATTACTGTAAACCCTGCAGTTTTCAGCATGTGAGAGACGAAGTGAAAGCTTTAAAACTGCTTGGCTTTTTAGGCCTATAGTTATACACAAACACAAAAATAAATGCAATAATAATATATAGAGACAACATTTTATTACTAAACGTGCATAATCCAGAGACACAGATTTGTGGAAAAAGTGAAACAATAAGATGAGTCACCCTTCACAATACTCTCCACAAGTGGGCGAGTGCATGTGTGGCATAAACCAAAAGAAAGTTATGGGCCTGAACGCTTTACCCCTATAACAAGGCAGTGCAGAGGCTCTGCTATGCTGTGGGCGGGACATTTTGCTAGCATACCTCGCTCTTGCTGAAAGTGAGGCAGGGATAAATGTCTTCTCTGTAAATTCGGTCCAGGAAACAGCAGCTCCTTTCCAGATTGGGCTCCTCCTTCCATGTTTTAAACTCATTAAACAGAAGAGAATCCACCTACACATACAGACACAAAGCCTTCAAATAGATTTCAAACACAGTTCTATTCAGGACCTTGATGAATGATGTTATGAGAATTGTTTAAAACAAATGCAACACAATTTGAGTAAGATGAACAGCACAAAGTAGAGGGCAAAATGATGAGCCTGTTAAACAGGTCTGGAGTCCTAAACAACTAGTTTCCTCTGCGCTGTTATTCAAATAGACAGCAATGCTTGTGCCCTCCTAACAAAGGCTTTTCTGACACATACTGTTGGCAGGCTTAATAAGCACAACCCTGACAAGGAAGAGCAGTGGGACTGACATAGATAAAAGGTGAGTCCTTAGAACATACAAAATCTCTTTCACTCACTCACACACACACACACACAGTTACTTCAGTGGTAGTGCTAAACACAGATATGACAATCTCAGCACCACACACACATACACACACACACGCACACACACACAGAAAATGAAGTGGTACAGCAATGGCTGCACATATGACGTATGTGAGTGTCCACACTATTAATTAGAAGCAAAAACATTAGCAACAGGCAATTTTTTTGTAAAGATGTGAACAAAGAAAGCGAAGGAAACAAATGTTTAAAAAGGGCACCAAGTGTTTCAACAGAAATGCAGGAATTCAGCTCTGTTCTATATAAGTAACAAGCAGTCCTGCTGTGCAGAGTTTATAACACCTTTCTTTATTCATAAAGAGTTCATTAACACAGACCAAAAGTAAAGCATGTAATGTATACAATCACAACAACAAAAACCTGTGGCCTGTGAAATCAAAGCTGATTTATGCTACATTTATGCTGGCGTATTATAACAGTACTGGACACCATACACTGTTTACATTTACCACCTGTGCGGTTGAAAAAATTAATGAACAAATTCAAAACAATATTTACATTTCAGCAGTATTTTCTATTCTATTGATTACTGATGATAACGATGTTAAACATTTAACTGCAAAATCAAGTCATTTTCAGACTGTTCAACTGTTATGCTCAAATTTACATGCACTCCTACCAGATGCGAATACAGTTAGGTCAACAGATTAAACTGATTAACAAAACTGTCACTGAAATATGCTAATATTTTTAGTAGATCCGACTATTGTTTACAGTTCAGTGCAGTTCATAAGTACACAGTGACAATTTTATTATTTTATCTCTGTATGCTAGCACAATTTATTTGAAGATTTAAAAAAAGTACGTGTAGAATCCTTTATATCTGCCATAAATGCTGAGTATCTTCCTTTGTTTTTGCCTTCACTCATATTCAGCAAATGAAATGTTGCTCAATAGGTTTCAGGTCATTTGACTGACCTGGCCCGTGAACAACATTCCACTTTTTGGCTCTAAAATCTCCACTGGGCCTTCAGTGCAATGTTTCAGGACATTGCCCAGCTGCAAGTGGAGTATTAGTCATTGTGTTTTGAAGCACTTGGTAGGACTTGAGCAACTGAGCCGCTTCTGCACGCTTTCTGCTGCTGTTGGCAATCACGTCAAGGAAACTAATCAGTTACACTTGTAGCCATGCCGCAATGTTTCAGCAGAATAAGATCCTGCTGAAAGAGATGTGTTGTAAATGCTTTTCTCTGCATTTTCCTCATTTCATAACTCTGACACGATTAATCCTCATCTCATCTGACTATAAAACTTGAAGTTTACGAGTAGTATGCATCTTGTGGTGAACCTTCTGAGGTCTTCATGGTAGTATCTGACAGATATGTCTACATGTAGTTTTTTCTTAAAGACTGAAAGCATTCTGATCAGCAGTGTATCAAGTGTCTTTTACGTGTTTTAGCTACGTCTGAATTATTTTTTCCAGATTTTTCAGGCTCACTGGCTCTGAAACTTAAACTTCATATACACTGTTTCTTTTTGAAAGTTCTAAAGTACATAGTTAATTAAAAAAAAATATTTCCTGCTCAATTACTGGGTGGCACTGCATGCGTGACTTATTTTTCTGTCTTGTCTAGAGAGGGCATAGAAAAAGAGCAGATTCCTTGCCTCTTTGCAGTCACGTATTATGGGCTGGGGTAAGCTTAGCTCCTGCTGGCTGCCCAGCATGGCACTGCTGGTGCTTTTGTTGCGGGCATGGCCTTTCTTGAATGGGGCCCTGGAGCCCGATGGCAGCTCCTTACATGGTGAGGTGGGAGAAGTGGACAGAACTAGGGTTTTCAGAGCAGCCACTTCTGCTTGAAGAACATCAATCTGCAGGGAGAGGAACAAAGGGAAAAGAGATGCAGATGAATAGTTTATTATTGTGTTGAGAGTTTGTATACGAGAACCAAATTAGTAAGACATTCTATTTGATGAGCATTTGCTGACGGTAACTAAGGGTATAAGTTCTATATTAATCTATGCTGCTGCTGTTTAGCTCTGTAAGTAATGAATGCTGCTGTGAACATACTGGCCTACTACACATGGCTGGTACAAAATACGCAACGTTAAGGTCAACAAGACTGAACACAAGCATCCTAGAGGTGGAGCAATTTGTTCCTGTTAAATAAATCTTCATTGTTAAAGATGAACAAAACTTCTCATTGTGTTCTGTCTCAAGGCTGTCTGTTGTCCCAACAAAGCAGGCAGCATTACATTTACATATTTTTATTAATGCACATAGTATCATATGCACATCTACGCACACAAGTATTTTTTATAGTTTTGTCCTTTTCCAATACATTATTTAATACATATGTATTATACATAGGTTACTACTAGGTTATATAACGTACACTGTATGTCCAAAAGCATCTAGCCCTTCTAATTAGCGAATTCAGCTACTTTAAACTGCACCCATTACGTTCTCTGGAGAGATGGAGTGCCATCCAATACTTTTGGGATGAGTTGGAGTGGCATTTTTGATTCAGAATTCATCATCAGACCCCAGTATCTGACCTCATTAATGCTCTCGTGGCTACATGCAGAAGAATCCTCACAGCAATATTCCAACATCGAGTGTAAAGTTTTCCCAGAAGAGTAGAGGCTGCTATGAAGCACAGGGTAGACAAAAATCTTATATCATGGTATAATTTAAAGTTCTGATATTTTTGATATAAATATATCATGATATATACGTTTTCAAATAAAACTATTGTAGATACTTACAAAAAAAACATTTTTTAGGTTAAAAGGGGCTTATTATTCTGGAATTTGCCTTCACTTCTTAACAAGAAACATTTTAACAACCAAAGTAAATCTAATTTTTTTTGTTTAAAATAGTGAAGATATGATGAACTGAAGATAGGATGAACTGAATAATATACTGATAAACCTGCATCAAAAATTGCTAATGTCTAAATTTCTACAAGGTTGAAGTTGGCTTCTTATTCGCATGCTTCTTGTCAGAATTTTCTGTTCCACCTTAAACGGTTTAGCAGGTATATTCTGGTACCTGTACAGATGAATAAGAATAAAACTTTAGTTTGTCAAATTTGTCGAATGTCGTGGTTTGTATAGTTTATGCATCATGTCATCTAAGCTTATTTGTGGTAAAGCTGTATAACAGACAAAACTCATTTCTGAGGAAGAACGTCGAACAGTATACTGGATAAACTGGTATACCTTCTACTACTACCTATTAATATCCTTTATTTCAGAAGAAACACTAGATGAGCAAGAGTCTACAAACTTTTGGACATTCAGTGTGTTTGGAGACAGCTAAATCTGAGCAGAAATGCTTCATTATCATTCATACATCATTAGCTATTAATCAATCACAGAGTTTTTGTTCAAGAGCAAAGAGTATATATGTTGTTCACTACAGCTGTATCAGGGCTCAAAACCACAAAAGAAGTTGAGATGTGTACTCACACTGGTGCCAAAACATTTTATTTTGGATCAAGTTAGGAACTAAATGATGATGCTGTGTGTGCTGAGTGGTGGGGTGAACATTAATGGATTGAATTTCATGTCTAACTAACTCGAAGTGTAAAGTCATGGCTATTACAACTGATCACGGCATTCTTCATGTCAACCTGAAGAAAATTCAGTTACTACACACATTATCTGTGAGTGAAAACAGTTTTTGAAGAAGAGTGTACAAACACTCATGTCAACAGTTTGCCCCCATTTTTCTTACCTTCCCAAGGGCTTCCTTTAGTTGCTTCTCTGCAGTGGCCTGCTTCACGTTTGCCTCTCGCACCATTTTATGAGCTTCCTGTCAAGATAACACTCACATTAGGCTTAGAACAAACTCAGAGATTTTCTGCACGCTCTCATTGCTTCCTACAATTCCCCACACCAAGAGGCACCCAAAAGCAAGCAGAGTCTGCCTCATAGCACACTGCAAGAAAAGTATTTTTGTTGAAGTCTTTATGGACAGAGCACAGACGCAGGAAAAACGGAACAGGAGATAGAGTGAGAGAATTACGTTTACAAGGCAAGTACAAACCAAAGCCAAACACCATGAGAAAAGAACACTAAAGAAAATAGAGAGCTACTTGAGCAGCTGTTCAGCACATCTACATTCTCACAATTATTGTAATGTAATGTTATTTTATAGTTAACTAGGTACCAATGGTCACTGCAGTACAGTAATTTGAGAAAAAAAAAAAAGACCAGGACAACTGACTTCACTATAATTGCCTACATTGTGTTAGCGCAGGGGTCACCGATTTTACCCACAAAGGACCGGTGTGTCTGCAGGTTTCATTCCAACTAAACAGGAGCACACCACTTAGAACTAATCAGTTCTTTGAAGAATGCATGCAGTCTCAAAGCAGCATTTGTACTATTGCCATTTCAATCCTTTAAAATTGTATGTAGAGAGGAAAAGAAGTATCAATTTATTTGTTAACAAAAAAATGCTGAAACTACTTCACCAATAAAAGTCAATTTTTTCTACAAAGCATGGAATAAACTGTAGATGTGCCAATGCAGCTGATGAGAAGCTCCATATCTAGTGTTACCTAATCAAGATGCCCAAATGTCCACTAAAACACTAAAAACGCACATCAGTGGTTTGAATATGTTTTGAGGGTAGGTTGGAAAGAGGCAGGAGAAGAAACCAAACAAAAAAAACAAACCTCAAACAGGCTAGCAGTGAGTTCCTCCAGCTCCTGCCCCAGCTGGTCCCTGACTTTAGAAAGCCTCTCACACTCCTCGTCTTTTAATTTAAGTTCCTTCAGGCAATATACCATGAAATGAACAAAAAGAAAATGGGAAAAGATGAATAAATGAATGAACAGAAAGGGGGGCAGGAAAGTGTTTTGTTTCCCTTTTCAGTGGCTCAGAAAAGAAAAAAAAAAGGTTGGACCACATGATCAAGCTTTTTGAGAATAATGGATGCAGGAACTCTGTGTAAACATGCTAAAGGTTAAGCATGCTAATGAGTGTGGGACTCTAAAGCTGCAAAAAGACACATCAATCAACTAGCGAGGCTACAGAGTGGTTTACTATCTTAAGAAAGTACCACCTGACATATACAAACTGCATGACATGAAGTAAGACCCTGTCTCACAAAGCAGAATTTAATGCTTAGTCAGTTTTAAGCTAGTTTGATCTAGCCCTGGATCATACACAGGTCTTAAACCAATCAGGGCTAAGCGTCTGACCATCAAGAACAGCTTTCTGAAAGAAGTGATGCATCCTGTCCTTTTCAGGTCATCCGAATCACACCCCTCCTTTCATAACATTTGTGGCAATAATCAGGTGAAAAACTTTACTCTTTAAGTAAGGCAACAAATCATACTACATAGATATCAAGAATATAAAGCAATTCCCAAATATGACTGTCAGTTGTGTTGTGGGCATATACAGGGCACATTTTTACACATGCTCTGGGAATGTGAGCCTATTACAAACTATTACAGACTACTGGAAATTCATTAATACTACTCTAATGAAAGTGTTAAAATTAAATTATATTCCAAACCCTGCCCTTTATGTTACTCAATGATGGAGAAACTTTTATGCTTAACCAAAGCTGGGCTTCTGCAGCTAAAAAGTTGTTCCTTGTGACCATTGTGACCCCTAAAATGGTGACTGTAAGGCTGAACAAGGCCCCAAACATGTACATCCTACAATTACAAAAAAATGAAATATAAAATAATTATTACTCTAATAAATACAAGAGTTAACCGCAGCTGCACTTGTTTTGTGAAGCTGAATCTTAAGGAACCCTAACCCTGGTTCATGAGACAGGCCCCTGGTTAGTGATGTGAATATACACAACATATTACTAATCAATTGATGTGAGTTATTACTAAGCCTATACACCAATGGAGTGATATTAATTCTGTGCTTGTCCACAGGCTGACATCATGTCAGTCTGGAAAACAATGACTACATAGTTCGGTGGCAAGGTATTCATACACAATCACACAAACACATCTTGTCTTATGCTTAAAGAGTAAACACTTGAAAACACTGACACGCAAAAAACACAGTATACTAATACAGCAAATGTGTCCAGAGACATAATAAAGGAGAAGACAGCTCACTAGATGTAAAATGAATGGGTAAACTTGTAACACTCAACATGTCATCTGTTTACAGGGAAAACCTTGCCCTTCAATAAAAAGCACCAATCTGCTTGTTGGTAAAGCTGCAAGCAGGAACAAATGAAACGAATAATCGATTATTCGGATTATGAATCATTCAGTTACCAAATAACTCTTATGTAGCTCTATGTAACTCTATGTTTAGTTTTTAAATTTAGTTTGAGGTTGTTTTTATGCATTTGCTAACTAACAATGAAGAAAATGAAGATGATAACTTACGCAAAAATTCACTGTTTTGATTAACTTGCAAAGTATCAGCAACAAAATATAACAAAACTAAATCAGTTTTCCCTTAATCAAGTAAATAAAAACAATCTAAATTTAAATTCTAAATTTAAACGGTGCATTCTGTGCTTTGAGCCCTGTGTAGACCAGACAGCACCTAATCTAATACAATATTTTATACTACAGTTAAAACCTTATTCTCTGTTCGTTCACTGCTCTTTTGTTATTGCTTGCCATATGGTGTTTACCAGAAGAGTATAGGTTCCTCTCAAGGTTTCTTCCTTTTGTTTTTAGGGAACTTTTCCTGCCACTGTCGCCATTGGCGACGCTCATGGGGGCTCACACCCGGATTCTACAAGTCATCATCTCTGCGTGCTCTTGTGAGAGTCTCGCTCTCCTCTGGGAGCAGATACTCCCCGCTGCGGACAAGATGCGCTCTGATGGAGCAGATGGGAAAGTGAACGTTTGTGGCAAACTTCTCTATGAACAGTTAAATTTGAACGATTTTGTGTAAACATTTCATTTTCACTTCGTCCAGTTGCCCTGTATGTTCTACCTCCTGAAACTGCAAGTCCCCGTTCCAACTCCATTAACGATTCAAGAGAACACGTATTTCGAAATAGATATTACAGCTCATAACATGAAGTAGGGCGGCTTCGAACATTAATATTAACTAATTAGCTCGCTAGCACAAGAGATGCTCACAGAGATGAATCTTCTTCATACAGTGAACCGACGTATCCGATGAAATCCTCCCAACACCTCTGAGAATTTTGTTCTTGAGGCTGCCAACTCGTTTTTGTTAAGTCTCCAGTATGCGATAATGTCAAAACATCCCTAGTCAGCGCAAGAAACACGTGTGCGTGATGATGTCACTAATGAATCGGGTATTAAATTAGTTGGCAACTAATTCGGTCGTTGATTTTAGTCAACTAAGTCTAATTATCATTGCACCCCTAGTGTATATCTGATTTTAGCACAGGCCATATCTCCAACTGGAAAAAACCCTGCCTTGTCTGAGCTGCTTTAAGAAGATTATCAAGTTTTCCTCCACATCCTCACCTTCCTCCCTTCTTTTTGCTGCACCCATCATCTCTCTGTTTGTCTGTCTCCACCACTCTCAATCCCTTCTTTAATTTGAGTTTATTTCTATAGGAAACTTTTATAAATCAAACTACTTATTAGATTATAATCACACTTAGATTACATGCATAATGCCAGCATTCAAGCAAGTGAAAACACACAAATATGTCTATGCAAGTAGCTGCCATAGCTTGGCTGTTAGTCTAAATTAGCAGGTGGGGGTTGGAGGATATGGCAGATAAAGGCCAGCTTTCTGTCTTAACTGAATAGATCTTTCTTTCTCTGCTGGTCAGGGACAACAGCCTGAGTCTTTATTATGCGCAGCTCCCATCTGCTCATTACTGTAATGGACACTTGAAACTGGACACTAGTGCTTATATGGCCAACTGGGAGAAGCTGTTTTTCTCTACAGGCACTGACTGGGCAGAAGCGTACGTTGAAGATAACATGCACACACAAACATAAGGTTTCTCGACTCAAAAATTATATAATATCAAAGATAAAGGCATATTTGAGCTTTAAAAAACAATTAATTATTAAACAAAGTCATTTTTACCCCAGCACAACACTTTTTTGCCAAATATCATAAACAAGATTTAACTTTAACATAGTGTAACTGTTGTTGACTTTTTGTACAGCTGGGTGACTCCAAATTTACATCAATTTCATCAGGTGCTTACTTTATGAGCAAATCTGATGTTTAAATGTTGTTCACAGTGAACCACAGTAGACAGATGTTTTACATTCTGTTACATTTATGATATTAATGACTCACTGGACTAGATCAACCACAGGTACTACAACAAAGAAGAGCGCGCACACACACACACACACACACACTTCTTCTAAGCCGCTTATCCTTTTGGGTCGCAGGGGGAGCTGGAGCCTATCCCAGCAGTCATTGGGTGGAAAGCACAAAGAAAAGCAGTAAGGGGCTTTTTTGACAAAAGGGTTGGGTTTTGTGCAATGATGAAATCAGTCAACGGAGTAGCACGACTGCCACATTAAAAATTGAAAATCTGTAGTTTCAAAACGGTGTACTGCTATTTCAGCTCAAGTACCATGCCACACTTTAGTGTCTCTTTTGCGGCAGCAGACCAATCAAGACGCTGGGCAAGTGTAAAAAAAATCAATAATAATAAGAATAAGAATAATAATATCCATCAAGTAGTTTACTAAAAATACTTTGAGTTTTCCTGTGTACATGAAAAAAAAAAAGTTTTCTTTAAAATCTATGGCATTTATACGTCCTGCAACTTATTGCAGACACCTCCAATCTGTAACTGGGTCAGTATCAGCAAAAGCATCGTTATCAAGTGGCCTAAGGCTATAATCTGTTACAGTTTGATGAAGGTAGCTTGAAAAGGTAAAAATAAATGTAACTACAAGCAGTAATAATCAGGGTCCAAGCACTAAGAGCTAGTAAGGGAATTTAGTAAACAAGACAAATGATGGGAAACAATTAACTCTGTTTTTGTGATTTTTTTTTTTTGATAAAGGACTGCAGAGAAGATGCATGCCGAATTTTTTACTGACTCACAAAGATTCATCAAAATTGCTAAAAGCTGTATATTATTTAACAACAGTATTTGCAGAGCTGTCTGATTAAACTAAATAAAACATCTGACATCCACCGCTTGTCCCCAAAATGAGATATACTAAATCACATCCCTTAAAACTCATTTAGCCTCACTGACTATTCCTGGCAGAATAGTTGATCTTAATGTAGCTTATCAGTTTACTCTTACAGGGTCAAACCCTGGGCTGAATTGTATAGTCCGACTGCACCAACTGCCTTCATGTATAGGGAATGAAATGTGAGACTAAACATAAAATCTAAAGATTATGGCCACTACTAGACGGATAATAGAAAAGGATCTCCAAAGCCCATACCCGCTGTGCTTTGGCAAGCTCCTCCTTCAGCCTCTCATAACCTTTTTCTCTTACTTCCATTACAGAAGGGCTTCTGAGCCGTGATAGGCTGTCTGTGCTCAGGCCCAACAGATCTTCTCCCTCATCGCCCAACAAGGCCCCCCCAACAACTGACCCCACTTCTTGGGAGGCGGAGCCTGGGGCTGCAGGCTCCAGTACAGGTACACTGTAAAAATAAACACAAAAATAAGTTCACACAAATCAATGATTATCATCAGTGTCTAGATAACATTTCCAGAAGTTGTGAGTGCAAGTTGCAATCCATGCCCTTAATCGATGGTTCCCAATACTAGTCCCTAGGGCCAGGAAGCAGGATATATGGCTTAGCCAGCTAACTACAGGCTTATTTCAATCTAAATTGGGATTTTTTTTTGTCTCACAACGGTAGATCACTTTTTATCAGGCTACATCACCACGGCAGCTTGCTTTGTGTGCTTTTGCTCTGTGGCAGGTTAAGTTTGGAATTTAAGATCTGATTTCTTTGACAAATTAGGGCAAATATCTCAATCAGAGTAGGCCTTCTAATGAAAGTGGACCTCTCTGGTCCTTCTGGCTCACTTTTTTCTTCAGTGGCCTTAATCATTTGAACAATATTGCTTTTTAGCAGAGGAAACATAAATATCAATAATATAAACCAATTATGACTCATTATTTCTTCTTTCTTTAAAAAAAACTAAGCCGTTTGATGACTCCTCAGGTTTCATGTAATTGGCTATTCATCATAAATGTCACACATGAGGATTAATCACAGTTAGAGTATCTACATCTGGGTTAACAGAAAAAGTTAACCGCCATTGTGTAATTAGTGAACTGTAATTGCATTTATTAGTTTTGAAGCCAATCTTAAGATGAGAACTCTGAATGTGCTTTGTGAACAGGCCCCTGGAGCACCCTGCCACATAAATGTTGGTGTTTTCCATGGTCTTAACACATCTGATCCAAATGATCGGATAATTAATTAACCAGTCCTGAGTTGAAAGAGGTGTGTTAGAGCAGAGAAAATGTGCAGAGCAGAGGTACTTCAGGACCAAAGTGGAGAAACACTTGCCTAAATGAGCTCTTCTGAAAGCACACATTAAGGGTAAACTATGTTTTGGCAAATGAAGGCATCAATGAGTAATATGACTGCTGAACGCAAAAAATATCTGTTAAAATAGGTATACATTTTAGGTTTTTAAAGTATAAAGATTCCTTTGGGGGGAAAAAAAGACCAGTTGGGAAAAAAACTCTCAGTTATGGGAGGCAAATCCAGCCAAAAAAGAAATTAAAATTAAAATGTATAAAATGTAAATGCAAACCTCTTTTTGCCATTTCTTTTTCCAGACATCTGAGCAAATATCTTGCCAAAATTGAAAATGAAATACCTACATTTGCAATTTCATTTTTCACATAAGCATAAGTAATTTGTGACAAAAATAAATTTAAAACAGCTATTTGTCATTTCATTTTAGTCATTATTCTGGTATTTCATGGCCATATCTAAAATGAAAAAGCTTTTCATTTGCCACTTTGCTTTTTCGTTTTCAAACTGACCAACATGCAAATATATGTTAATTAGCACTAGGTGGGGCTACGGGGTACATTTTAGGACATCCTCAGACCTCCGGGTCAGAACGGCATCATTCTTCAAGCTAAATGACTTTGAGTCTAGAGAAAAAACACCTTCATGTCTCAGATCTGGTGAAACTGAGCACCAGACCAAACAGCCTCAGAGAAAAGGTATCAGACCAAACGTAAGCCTGGTTGAGTATATACTGGTTCGTATAACTTAGAACACTATTGTGTATTGTCGATATAAATGCCAGTATAACATTTTCATGTTTTTTTCTGAGGCCGTTTGGTCTGACGGCGTTTGGTCTGATGTTCAGTTTCACCAGATCTAAGACATGACGGTTTTTCATTTTAGATATGGCCATGAAATACCAGAATAACAACTAAAATGAAATGACAAATAGCTGTTTTAAATTTTTTTTTGTCACAAAGTACTCATGCTCGTACTGGTTGCTATTTCATTTCATTTTCAATTTTGGCAGGATATTTGTGCAGATGTTTGGAAAAAGAAATGGCAAAAAGAGGTTTGCATTTACATTTTATTGTTTTAATTTTAATTTCATTTTTGGCTGGATTTGCCTCCCGTTCTCAGTGGCATTTTAGCAGACAGATTTAGCTAGCCTACACAAACAGAGCAGTTTTCCTATTGGCCTAAGCGATATTCCAAGCTCTCTGTTTTTACCTGCCATTTTGAGGCTCATCATTGCCTAGGTGTCGGGGGGCCGGGTAAACTGGCTGGGTAGGCAACTGGTCAGCATAGAGGGTGTTGGGAGGGCAGGGGGCAGAGGTCAGGGAATGGGTACGGTACAAGGTGCTTGGCGGCACGCTGGGCTTTAGAGGACGGGGGTCAGCGATGCCATGCAGGTCCGGGGTGGTGGGCGATGCCAGGTTCACCTCATGGAAACCTTCGAGGGGTTCGTTGGCCATAGCCTCAGAGTCGTAATACGCTTATCTGACCAAATACAAGAAATAATTCTCATTAGGAAGGTTATTTTAAAGAACTGTTAGAAATGACTGACAATCAACCTTTTGTCAGCACATTGCTGTTGTGAGGCATGCTAAAGCAGGTCAACACCGAGGCTATGAACACAATCTATGACACTGTATATTTGATTAAACAAGAACACACTAAGATTTGTCTGTAGCTCCATGCAAAGCCAGGAACTGTTAGAAAAGCAAGAAACAGTCTGCTTACCATTATGATGAATGTGTGTGTAATCTAGAAGACATGGTTAAGAAGTGTGAGAGAAAGAACTGGAACTATGGAAATGCCTCAGTGCTCCTGGCTTTGTTTCACCCTAACACAAGAAAACAAACAGAAATTTGAAAGCAACATAACATTTTACATTTTTTACTTGATTCATGATCTGAAAAAGGAGGCACGATGTAAGACAGAAGATGACTTTTACTGTTTAAGTGATAAATGTGAATGACACCATACCACCGATCCATGGACCACTGAAAAGCCATGACAGAAGCTTTCTAGACTCTTGTCAACGTTCAGCACTGAAGTTACATGGGGGAATGAGGCAGAAGAACTCCATAGACACACACTGCTAGTCACGCCCAATCTCTCATCCCAAAGGTGAAACCAACCAATGGTCAATGACACCAGACAAGAGACTTTATTGTTGCAGAAACAAAAATCCAGCTGGTAAGCCTGCTTTTGTGAACATCTTAAAGGGCCAACTCCCTGTCTGTCAAAATGGCTGTTATGGTAATAGGCTGGGCATTGGATAGGTGCCAGTACCACCCTAACAACTATAGCTGTCAACAAACAAGATGTCTTACCATTTCCACTCTGAAGAGTTTTGTGTTTTAAATGACATGAAAGAATATTGCAGTCTATCCATTCCAGAACTGTTCCTATAGTGTCTGGAAAACAATTTTTCTGACTTAATATGACATATCTGTAATTTACAGGCTGATGAAAGCATACAGCCAAGCTATATCAACCCAGTGCAAAAACAAGTTCTACATTTGTAAAAATCAGGCAAGAGTGTACTGAACCTATGACAATGAACTAAAGAACATGGTTAAGACCTGATTTACTGGCTAGGTTGGAGACGTGTCAATTGCACAGGTATACTACATAGCAGAGATGCCAAAAACTCTCCAAAATCAGGTTGCAGTCAGTTTAAAGCATCTGAATGTTTGAATACGTTTAAATACAATACTGTAATGCTGTGAAGCTGCAATCAAACCAAAAAGAGACACTGACTGCTTTGCTTCCAAGACAAAGACGAATGTGTATGCAAAAGCAGCAGAGACAAAGGTACACAATGAGAGGAAGAAAGAGGACCAGCAAGCGGATAAGGGTAAGAGAATGCTGTCAGAGTAAGCTGGGATTCTGCTCAGAATGGCAAGGGAAGCCGTAGCCACCTGTCATGTGAAAATGTCAGAACTCTGCCAGAACAGCAGAGCATGAGGAAAAAGGAGGCAGCCTGTGGAATACTAAATCGCTAACAGCATACACCAGTTTAACAGTATTAATACAGCATACGTTGTATCAGATTACTAACAGCACAGAGATTGAATCAGAACAGGTCACATGCCAAGCATGCTGCTTCCAAGCAGAGAATCACAGGATAATTTGCAGAGTCTTAAAATTTGGAAAATTTACATACATTTTTTTAAAATAAACATGTTATTCTGACCTGTTATTCAGCTGCAGCAAATCATTGCTAAAGACTGGCCAAAAGCATCCTTAAGTGATCTTACAGCAGAATTGCGTTTTGAAGTTGTAGCATTTTGTGTATTCAGCCTTCTTGTCCAGTCTATTATTTCAAAATGACGACTTCACTCAGCAGCTTTCTGTCACACTTAGCAGACTTCTTATGAAGAACCCTCCAGACACAACAATCAAGGACAAATGTAGTCATCCAGATTCCACAGTGTTCTCATGTTGGAAAAAAATAAGATCACATAACTTCTGTACAGACATTTCATAATGGTACCGGGCATGATATGTCTGCATGCAATGTTTATCAACAAATATTCAGTTATTCAAAAAATAACAATAATAAAGAAATTAATTTATATCAGTACTCTAAAACAGCTGCTTACATTTCATGTGTAAAAGCTCTCTCTAAACAGCTGCTGTATGACAATAGCCCATTACACACACAGGCTGCAGTACTTCTTAACTAATAAAAACTGAATGCTGAATATTGCTACAAAAATGGCTGCAAAGCATAAGATTGACATCTATGAGCAAAGGTAATATCCAGTTTTTCATAGTCTGAAATAAATATAACCTAAGTTCACAGCAAAGTATAAAGTGCAGAGTGCAATGTTTTAATAACAGGTGGATTAGCTTAATAATACAATAGCTGCATTCATATCCCTCCTGAGGCACAGGAGAGCTAACTTAACTGTCCAATGTGAGGATACCAGACGAAGTTGGTAAAACACATAAAATAAGCACTCTCAAAGTGTTTCATTGCTGTTTGGTAAGGTTTGTTTAAGGTATGTCCTTGAAGTATTACAAAACAACCTTTATTTGGAGAAGCATTTGATTCATTTCAGACAATTAGACAACACATGAAACAAACCTTGTTAAGATTTTCTGCATACCTCGATTCCTTCTTTTCCTTCGATTTTGCTCCCCTGGGAAGAAAATTCTGTATATTTTTAAGGTAAATGCATCAATCTCTTGCACTTTGAAAGCAAAATTAAGAGGTTAGACCTATGAAGAAGTCTTTGCTCTAAACAAATCTGTGCTTTAGTAATACAATCATACACACTCTGGTTGTATGGGTATGAACTGTGATGACATAGCAAAAATGTCCCACTCACAAAGTATGATAAAGAAGTTTAACAGCTCACCAATGGTCAAAACAAAAAAAACGACTAGAAGATACATAGCGTGCATAACACAAACATTGAGCATGAAACAGTAGTGGCTACCTCAACATTACAAATAGCCTACCATTACATGAAGAGCCAACTTGCTCCTCAGAAGCCTAAAATAGTTACGCTGTCAGAGCATGAGCATGACATAATCTTGTATGTTTGCTGCAGCACCGGCCACAACAAAGAGTTTAACAAAGAATTACATTTCAGAACTTGTTGAAATATCACAGTAACTCTGCATAGAGCACGTAGTCGTATTGTGATGGACGAAAATATGCTACCGAATGTGTTAGCAGCATTGATGTCAACTTTTCCAGCTCTGAAACAAGCTATAGCTAACAGTGCACTGTTTTAAAGCGATGATCTTGTTTTAAAGCGAGAAAGTGTGTCCGACTCGCATTGACATTTATGTTTCCTAACTAGGATAAGTTGCCTCGTGTCTCGGATGCAGCCAGATGACAAGACAGTCCAGTGTGTATCTGAGCATGTGCACTAGGGGTGCAATGATTATTCGTCTTAGTCGACTTAAATCGGTGACCATATTAGTTGGCAACTAATTTTATAGTCGATTCGTTGGTGACGTCATCACGCACGCGTTTCTGGCGCTGACCAGGAATGTTTTGACATTACCGCATACTTGAGACTTAACAAAAATGAGTTGGCAACCTCAAGAAAAAAATTCTCAGAGGTATTGGGAGCATTTCATGCTAAACGCTATTTGTAAAGCCGGCATGGGAGCACATCTTCCATGATGGAGTATCTGAAAAGGAAACATGTTGGCTCACTGGATGAAGAAGATTCGTCTCATCATCAATAATAATGTTCAAAGCCGCCCCACTTCATGTTATGAGCTGTAATATCTATTTCGAAATATGTGTTCTCTTGAATCGTTAATGGAGTTGGAACAGGGAAGTAAGTAACTATTATTCACAACGACCCTGGTTACATTCCAAAAAACGTTCACAGTTTTAGACGCTGCATCGTTGTCTTAACGCCGAGGCTACCAGTACATTCAAATTTATATAAGCTAGCGATTCTTACAGCAGGCATTGTGGCAAAGCAGCTTTACAGAAAAAATCCGGGTGTGAGCCCCCATGAGCGCTGCCAATGGCGACAGTCGCAGGAAAGCTCCCTAAATACAAGAGGAAGAAACCTTTAGAGGAACCCATCCTCTTCTGGTAAACACCATATGGCAAACACTAACAAAAGAGCAGTATAAACAGAGAATAAGGTTTTAACCGTAGTATAAAATATTGTATTAGATTAGGTGCTGTCTGTCAACACAGGGCTCAAAGCACAGAATGCACCGTTTAAATTTAGAATTTAAATTTAGATTGTTTTTATTTACTTGATTAAGGGAAAACTGATTTAGTTTTGTTATATTTTGTTGCTGATACTTTGCACATCATCGGTTTGAAATTTTTTATTTTATCTTTTGTATTAGCAGAAAAATTAATCAAAACAGTGAATTTTTGAGTAAGTTATTCATCTTCATTTTCTTCATTATTAGTTAGCAAATGCATAAAAACAACCTCAAACTAAATTTAAAAACCGACAGCTACATAAGAGTTATTTGGTAATTGAATGATTCATAATCAGAATAATCGATTATTCGTTTCAATAAGATAGATTATTCGACTATAAAATTAGTTGTTTGTTGCAGCCCTAATGTGCACAAATAGCAGGGGAGGGGAGGGGGGCCTGACTGGTAGCGAGAGATTGTTTGTCGAAGTAACAGGGCAAAACAACAACGTTTATGTTATTGTGAGAAGTGTGAATATATTCAGTGGCGGGACAAATGAAACTATGGCGGGCTGCCACGGTCTAGGTAATTAATATGAAACATTGCAGTTTTTCAAAGGTTTGATATTCATGATATTTAAGACAAGTGATGCTAGTAATGTTTTTAAGTAAACGCTGATGCCAATACCTGAATGTTTATTGGTGTTAATGTAGAAACTGTGACCAGTCTAACTGCCTTCAGTTAGACACATAAGTGTAGCTTTTATTTCCGTAGGGTTAAAAATGCAGCAAAATAAAATGTAGACATTTTAGCACAGTAGCATAAACGCTCTTCTCGAGTACAATAAATAAGTCATCAAATACAGGTTTAAAATATAGGTCAAATCTAAACGTCAATACTTCTCTTACACAGAGTATTTGCAAATACCAATATGATTCCGATGTCATCATGCATCCATAGACTAGACGAAAAGTGGTCATTAAACTCTGAAAGATTCTGTTTAAATGAGTCTAGTGCTCTCACCGCTTAAAAAAAATACACCTTGAGGCAAAACAAAATCCTCATCACGGGCCACTTATAGGCGTTTTTATTATTCCTCAGAAGCTAAAGTAGTGTCATATCAAGTCTACAATCTAGTTGTGTTGAGGGGATTATTCCAAGGCTCTGACCACAATGATCCAAAGTGCAGCTTCATATTCACTGAAGTACAGACAAAGGAAGGCTTGTGTTCCCAGTTGAGGAACCACCAAAAAATCCTTTCCTTCTGACAATGAATAATTTGCTTATCAGCACCACTCGTGAGCAGCAGTAACATTAACCCTCTCCACAACCCCATCCATTCTGCTATGCAGCACACAGCTATCTACTCACTTTGGCGCCTCAACGTTATAGAATGAACTGCAAACAGAGCATTGCACCAAAGCAAAGAATGTTCATCTATTATTTGGAGTAGCGTACTATTTTTTTATCTTACCACCCTGGCCATGTGAGCATAGATATCATCTGGATTGTTTTCGATGGTTAAAGTCCATTCCTGTGTGTTATAAAACCAATTCCTTATTGCTTCTAAACACACACATGAACCTTAAGTTATGCATTCTCTATTGCTGGTGGTATGGATAAAATTCAATTTCATGATATTTTTCAAATATACACTATATTGCCAAAAGTATTCACTCACCTATCCAAATCATTGAATTCAGGTAATCCAATCACTTCCATGGCCACAGGTGTATAAACCCAAGCACCTAGGCATGCAGACTGCTTCTACAAACATTTGTGAAAGAATGGGTCGCTGTCAGGAGCTCAGTAAATTCCAGCATGGTACCGTGATAGGATGCCACCTGTGCAACAAGTCCAGTCATGAAATTTCCTCGCTACTAAATATTCCACAGTCAACTGTCAGTGGTATTATAACAAAGTGGAAGTGGATTGGGAACGCTAGGCCACGTAAAATGACAGAGCGGGGTCAGAGGATGCTGAGGCGCATAGTGCGCAGAGGTCGCCAACTTTCTGCAGAGTCAATCGCTACAGATCTCCAAACTTCATGTAGCCTTCAGATTAGCTCAAGAACAGCGTAGAGAGCTTCATGGAATGGGTTTCCATGGCCGAGCAGCTGCATCCACGCTTGGTTACATCACCAAGCGAAATGCAAAGTGTCGAATGCCGTAATAATAATAATAAATATTAATAAAGGTCATAAATGCTTTACGGAATGCTAGCATTCTATGCTAAAAACTGACATAGCTTGTTTTGACTGGACTGTTCTGTTTTCTTCTCCTTAACGAAGGGAATAATGTACTGTGTACTTAAACCAGCATGGCAACAGGAACACCACAACATTATGAAACAAAATGTTGTCCTCTTTATTCAGAAATACTGCTAAAACTAAACATCATTATTCTTCTGTGATACCAGTACCACATATATCATCTAGTTTTAGTAGGCACTTCTCCAGAAACAAATAAAACAAATGAAAAAGTTTGTGAGTACAAACTAACTAAAGCTGCGTATATTTGCTTGGAAATGAGCCATGTCAGCTACAACCGAAGTGGTCAAATGTGTCAGGGAAGCTGTGCTGGAACAGCATGCGTGGTGATGCAACAGAAGTGTCCCTCTCTGCACATGAACAGTAATATTAGAAAGAACGGTCCAAGAATGCAGCACATTTGCAGATCAGGTGTCTGCCTGCCCTACAGCCCTGCTGTCACCACAGACTGCAGAACGGCCTTTGAACAAAGATACAAGAAGACATACATCACCATTTGAACCCTGTAATGAGTTTGTAATGACTTTGTGTCTTACCTATTTATTTATTCATTTACTACAAGCTGGGGGAAAAAATTGACAGATGCCACATAAAAATACCTACATAAATGTTACATAATTTCAACTAAACAAACCTATAGATATTATGCATTCAATAGAAACTACAAAAAGCAGTAAGGAGGATATTTTGTTCATTTGTGTTTGCATGGTTTTTCACGATTGCTATCTAATTTGTCTGTTTATTAATTTATGTATAACTGTAATGTGACTCCATGCAACTATCCTGTTTAAACAGTTGTTTTCAACACTGTTCAATCAAAAATGTAGCCATTAAAGCATATAAATACATATTTGCAACCTCAACGTGGAGCATCACCAGGTCTTCAAGGGAAGCTGAAGAAAAAAGCCTCATTATCTGACTGCAGAAACCAGTTACCAAGACTGCATCTTCTGGAAGATGGGGGATGGGAAACACCAGGCAATGTTCATCATATGTATAGGGTGGCTCCCAATCAATGCAATTGGTACGTCTTAAAAATGCAGAACTGGAAAACAATTCAGCAGGCATACATGTATTGCAAGGCCAACAAGGGGGCCTATCAAGACTCTTAGTCGAGGAGCACTTATCTAGGATTAGATTTCTGCAGCTCAATTGTTTATCAGGGCATTAGGGGGTGTAAAAACATATGACATAGCAGGAACACCAATAATCCCAATACTCACTAGAAAAGGTACAAATATGCTGCGTGCTACACCAGGCTTATTTTGGCATGTCCACTTTATACTCATCTTCCACACGACATCCCGTAGCTGCTGACACATAGCACTGTGCTACCACTGAGTGAAGCTTTTAAAGCAAAAGCAGCCGCCTGAGCTAGCTATCAGTCTACTTGCTATTACAATAGCCTGCTGTTATTGAAGTAACCAAACCGCTGAGGTTGATGTTCTTACAAATGAACTGTAACGTTATCTTACAAGTCGTCACGTAGCTCACGAATAACCATCAATGTAGCTATAAAACAGCTTAAAACGGCTAAACCAAAAATGAATAAAAACTTAGCTAAAGCTATTGAAACGCTTACAGCCTTAACAACGTCCGCTGCTAGCTAGCTAACGTAAATTACATACTAACCTAAATATATTTTACTAAAGACAGTGGAGAAAATTAAGGAGTTGTTGTACAAGCATGGTCACTAAACCCTGTTACTGAGTGGGTTAGCTGGTTGCTAACACAGCGGTAGCTCGCTGACTGGGTGAACAGCAAACGAATGTTTATGTATCAACATACCTACAAGAAGTTAGGATGTCGCAGACTTTCAGTGACCAGTGACGTTGCTCCTTGATCAACCCAACATCTAAAAATATTCCAAAACCCGAGTGATGAAAACATTTCAGTCATCCCTCTCCGTCGTGTCCTTCTCGGTGTATCCCCTGGCTGGCGACGGTGCGAGCTGAACGCGGCGCATCCTAGCTAACCAAAGGACCGAGCCTCCAACCGGCCGTTTGCGTCACGCGCACCTGCCCCTTCTCTCTCGGGCGCTCTCACGCCTACATATAATAATATACAATGAACAAAAATTAAATGAAAAAAAAAGTATATATATATATATATATATATAATATATATATAATATATATATATATATATTCCTTATAAATAAAGAAAATAAAAATAAACAAACCGAAAAAATAACAGTAAAATAAAATACAAACAAAAGTGTTATTAGGCCTACAATAAATACAAATGAAAAATAAATAAATAAATATAATAAACAAAAATAAATAAATGATTAAAATACAATAAAATAAAATTCAAATAGAATTAAAAAAAAAAACAAAACAGGCGCATGAGAATTATTTGAACAGCAGCGCACCCTGGCGGACACTGTTATTACTGCGGCGTGTAGGTTAAAACAGTGGAAAGCATTAAGTGGACTGCACCATCACGTTGCACGCAACCTAGGCATAACTTTACATTGCACAGCACTTCTGTGTGTCTAAAACAAGGCCCACTGGTATGTTCTCACTGCTCACACTAAATTATATAAATTAAATGAAGCTAAATCAAATTAAGAGACCGACGATATGAATAGACAGGTCAGCCATTTCTGAAGCTGCAAGCCAATAAGCTGTTGGAAATGTATCTGGCAGCGGGCAGCGTGCTTTATGTAGTTGGCCTATGAATGTGAGGGAGCACAGAGATAAATTTAGTCGCGGTCCCTGTTTCGAATAGCCTCACTCTCCACTCCGCTTACGTGAGGATATGGTAGCACGGCGTGTCAGAAGCTGCTGCATTTTGTCCTAACTAACATCTAACCTGACGAAAATGCTGGCTCGTTTAGACACACGTTGAGCGGCGGAGGGGCAGAAAAGTCTTAACAGTTGAGTCTACTCACTCCTCAGTGCCACCGAGGGGAAAGATGACCGTCACGTACTCAAGTAAAGTGGCCAACGCCACGTTCTTCGGTTTCCACAGGTTGCTAGTACGCTGGAGGGGGAGCATTTACAAGCTGTTGTACCGCGAGTTTCTAGTCTTTGCGCTTCTGTATTCCATCCTCAGTATCGTGTACAGGTAATTCAGACTCTTTTTTAAACCATAGGAAGAGATATGAATAGTGTTGCGTTAAACGTCCAGTTTCCCTGGATTTCATGGTTTTCATTGTTTATTCGCTGAAATAGTTTATTTTGGAGATTAATTTACTAGCATTACATTTCACTGATTTCATTTTCTACATTTCAACTATACTAGCGTTCAAACGTTTAGAGTCACTTTTTATTTTAATCGTTGCTGTAATTTATTTAATAATAAGTCATTGTTGCCAGTGTAGATTAAAATAAACTAGACGCCAAACTGTATTTAACGATGTTTTATTTAATATTTCACGTTTTTTTTCCAGAACACCGTGAAGTTAAATGGTATCAAATGATAAATAATGTAATTATCTGTTAACAGCAATTTCTTTAAGTCATCACTCTCGAGATTTGATCACAACTTTTTATATACGTTAGACATTTTGAATATTTTATTATAACTTCAGTCTCAGTGTTTTACAGCTTTCTCGGTCATTTTAGAATCATTACACCTCTCTTTATCATTCTGGATAAATCTAGCCTAACATTTATTTTTTTCCTAGAAATTAGTTGAACCTAATGTAGTTGTAGAGAAGTGACATCATATTATAAATATTTATGTATTGACAGATATGTACATGAAAAATATTGTATATCAGCCCACATTTCCCATATCCTTGCATCCCTAGTAATGTCATTTAAAAATGAAGTAAATAAAAATAATTAAACTGAAAAAAGTGTAGTCCTGGAATGAGCACTAAAGTTCTCTGGATGTAACACACAATAATATTTATCTGGTGTCTTCAGGTGGGTGCTTACGGATCCTCAGAAGCGTCTCTTTGAAAAACTGTCCATTTATTGTGACCGATATGCAGAACAGATCCCCGTCACTTTTGTACTTGGTAAGTGGCTACTGGCCAACCTCTCCTACTACAGGACATCTCTGATCTCTGCTTTCTAGTGAGTTTTAGAAAGTCAGATGGGATGTAGGTCATCTATGAATTTGTGTGGTTTTCTATAATCATTAGACAAAGGTAACAGATTGCATTACCTTTATATAGAAGTGGGCAGCATGGCAACATGTTATTGTTGTTGTAATAAATTTGATCATACTCCACTTTTCTGAGTGCGTTCTGGTTATTGTTAGTAATGATAAACTACTGAACATTTGCAGGTATCAGATTTAGGCTAATTATAGAGGGCCTGTAAACAACAACATCCAGTGTATAGTCACTACAGAAACTGCATAAGAAACAAGTAGCTGCTCATTATTACACCTGTATTTTACTTTATTTCTTTCTTTTAATCAAATGCATTTCTCCTCCTTAAACAGTTAATTTATGCAAATGTTGAATGAAAAAAAAAACTTGATCCAACTTGATTCACAAACCTCAAATTTCTTTAAGTATGATGTAAGATTTTTGCTGTATCATTCAGCTTTCCAATCTTATGTTAAAGTAATTTGAGTGGACATGCAAGGCTAGCAAGAGCATTATTGACAGACACCAAGAATGTCAGTACGGTTGGGCTGGTAACTGTTTCCTTTGTGTAAAAAGATGGCAGCATGCTGATTGCTTTGTCTGTGAAATAATGAGCAGACTAATTTACCCAGTGGACATAGTGTGCACAGAGTATAGCCTGTCCATTTTAGCATGTCCGTTATGCTAAAATATGCAAACTACATTTTTACTATACCCTACAATAGTTCTGCACAACCAATATACAAATACTAATGTTATGTGAAACTGCATTCATCGTATTGAAAAACCTTTAAAGCTTTAAAGAAATGGTTCACCAAAAAATCAAATTTACACAGTTTTACCTACCCTAAATAGAATCAGTCAATTCTACCATTCTGGGATTCTACCATTACTTACTAGTTACAGTAGCCTCGTAACTACAGTGCAAATATAAGGAAGCATACATCAGACACCAAACATGTCTTGGCAGATTGATTACATTTTGGGTAAGGGAAAAAGTTGCATATTTGAAAACTGGAAAAATACTGTTTTTGTTTGTTTGTTTGTTTGTTTGTTTGTTTGTTTGAGGGACGTATTGCTTGTACTCACAAAATATACACATTTACTATTGGGAACACCGTGCGCTCAAAAAATGATTTATGGCCATCATAAACACTAAGCAAATATTTGACATAAAATGTATTTAAAAAACAGAAAAATATACTTTACTTATTTATATTCATTAGAAGGAACCCAATTTGGATAAATCCAAAACTATGTAAGACCTATTAGATTTTTCCACTAAATCTTATTAGGTGGCAGTGCGCATGTGCAATAGTAACAGGAAACACATCATCAACCAGGAAATTGCTTTAGCTGGCATGGTGGACATGAAATGGCTCTTTTTATTTTTACAATCTCCTGCCATTCTTTGTTATACAGTGCAACTGCAATGAAACCATGATGCGCATTAACTTAATTTGTGTTTTTAATGTTTTTGACCATATATTAATGTTTCATTTTGCTTATTTTGAGAGATACTCTAGACAACACCAGCGAACTAGCTAGCTAGCATCCTTGCTAGGTCTGCTGTCATGTTAACGGGTAAAAACGTAGATTAAATAAACAATGGGAGTTATTTATTGTGAAGCATAGTATATAAAGATGTATTCCATTAATATTCAAATCAACAGTTCATGGTTTTTGTAACTGTAGGTGACCTTGACATTTTAGCATGGCATAAAGTGTCTGATAGTGTTTGCTAGCTAACTTGCATGATGATTAGCATGAGAGTTGCACCTCAATAGGCATGTTGTGTGCACATAAACATTTGCTTTAAGTAGTAGTTGCGAGTGAATAGAAATTCTAAACCAGGGAATTTGATCACAGCTGAAATATATAAAATTATGTTTATTCCTTTCACATTAGACTTTAAAGTTTACATGTGTCTTGTAATGTGCCTTAGCAAATACTGTTTAATACAGTATAATACCATTTTTTTACAGTGGAGTTATGTATTTAAATTGAATTGAAAATTGACATGTAATTAAAATACATAAGTTTTAACTTTTGGGCTTAAATATTTTTTGAGTGTATAGGTGAATCTTGGTCAGTTTTGATCCACAGGACCACTGCATGTTTTTATCTCTCAACCTATGGTGGTCCATTTTCTACTGATGGAGAGAAAAGAGGGGGCTGACAAACTGTGCAGCAATGCATAGGCTAAAGTCAGTAGTAGTAATATTGTGTGCACTGCTTTTTTATTGCACTTATATGGTAGAAGTACCTGATAAAATGACCACTGAATTTAGGCACAACGTATGTAGGTCACTGTGGGTTCTGTACTGGCTGATAAAACCCACTGATCCACTGACACTGTATACCTACAACATCAGTTACCTAAAATTTGCCACTACAGGGTTCTATGTAACACTGGTGGTGAACCGCTGGTGGAACCAGTTCCAGAACCTGCCATGGCCAGACCGACTCATGTTCCTCATCTCCAGCTGTGTTCAGGGCCGAGACGAGCAGGGGCGGCTGCTGCGTCGCACACTAATGCGCTACGTCAACCTCACCTCACTGCTTATCTTCCGCTCAGTTAGCACGGCTGTCTGCAAGCGTTTTCCTACCATTGACCATGTGGTGGAAGCAGGTAAACATAAAACACACCTGTTGGTATTTTTCTTTTCTCTCCAGGATTGGGAATCCCTTGTTTGTTGGTGCTTTATCATACAGAGGCATAAACCTGCTGAAAAAAAACAGCTGGTGACCAGCAATGATGGTCTATGCTGATTTTTCTAGCAGGGAAAGGGTCAGCAGCATGAAATCCAAGAGGTTTTCTGAAAGGGTGAAAGGAATTAGCAGTGATATAGTGGTCACAATAGTAGTGATATTAAAACTGCTACTATTGTAAGTACAGTTAGCAGTGACATATTGTATAGTGCAAGTAGTACAAGGACATTTTGGTTATTTTATTATTTTTTTCATATATGGAGATCACATTTCACTGACATAAATAGCTGTTTGAGCACCTTCATATAGACTTGTTGCAAATAGCAGACTTTAAAGATATGCATAAAACATAGATCTATAGTGGATATTATTTTAATTGATTGAATGGAGGATTTTTCTTTAACCATAATGTCACCTTTACATGTGAAAAGCAGATACGTTGAAATAATATCCCTAAAAATTCCCCTCAAATAAAGACAGCAAGGTAAAGTAATTTTCAAGTTCGGAGCTAAATAGAATGAGTCTGTAGGCAGTGAATTTCACTGCTAAAAGAAAGGGAATGGCTTGTATTTAAAACCTTTACTTTGTTAGATGGGTTGATTCCACTGCAGTGGGTCCAAGTCTTGTGATAATGTTCCCTGGAAATTGAAGCTTGTGTGTATAAGGTTGCCATTAATAATTCTGTAAACACGCATTATAAGTGGATAAGAAAACATAATCATTAGCATTTGCTGACATTATAGAACAACATTTAAAGGAAGACACATATCAAGAAACACAAGCATATGTCTGTGTGTCTGCCCTGTGATGGACTGGTGGCCTGTCCAGGGTGTTTCCTGCCTTCTGCTCAGTGAGTGCTGGGATAGGCTCCAGCAGCCCCCGCAACCCAGGAGGATAAGTGGCTTAGATAATGTGTGTATGTGTGTGTGTGTGTGTGTGTGTGTGTGTGTACTTACAACAAACATTTCTTCTAATGTTTTAAGTTGTTGTGTACACCAAGCTGCAGTAACCTCATCTGTAGACGACTTTATTAGAAAGCATTGTGTGCAGTGCCTTTTTAATACAGTGGGGTTTATATAGCCATTACTCCTGACACACCCATCAAGAGAAAACTTACCTCAAAGCCCGTTACCTCGAAAAAACATGTTGTTCAACTTGGAAACCATAACAAAATGGTGCAGAACATTTTAAGATTAAACGTTCCCCAGATGAGATCCGATTTTACTTTACTCATATAAAAAGCACATTAACACATTGGTCTTTTCTGTTTTAATTATCTTTACTTTTTTCTAGTTTCCGTTTGAGCAAATGTTGATTTCCTAAACAAAAATAAGTTAACATATACTCTACAGCAGGGAAATCTTGTTTGCAAAGGACCAGCGTGGCTGAAGGCTTTCATTCCAAACAAGCAGGCACATCTGATGACACTTGTTAAATGCTGTAATTCAAAACCCGTCACCCCATCAGCCCTTTGTGAATAAGATTGGGCACCCCTGCTCTACAGGGAACAAATTTAAGTATTTGCAAATATTAGTATGCAACATCTGTGTAGTTCAACATATTGGAAAAAAATTACATTAAAAAAACATACAATATATTTTTTTAATTAATTAATCAATATTCATTTTCCAATATGTTAAATTAGCAAATAAAAGGTAATTTGTGCATTAAACCAAAGTGCAAACTTTGAGTCGGAGTTTCCTAACTGGAAAATTGAATGAGTGTGAAAATATGTAGGTTTGCAACAGAAAAGGGAGGAAAAACCAGGTAGCAGTGGTTAGTTTGTGTGAAAACAATGTGAAATGCAATCATCTGCTCTTTCTTTTGTTTTACCAAGTTTGTTGGAACTAGTGAAATCAGTGGAATTCTGTGAGATGATGGGAGGGCTGAAAAAGGCATCGCATGCTTTGGGTCACCAGTTAAATGTCAAACGTGATGGCTTCAGGTTGAAAAGGAGTATGGAAGTATTTTTACAGGAGGATAAAGAATTAAGAAAGTATACCAATATCAGATGAATGAGTGGTATTGGTATGAAATGCCGTTATTCAATATCAAGTCAGACGTTGAATCTTTCTATCAGGCTTGAAAATTGATCAGTTGTTACTGGATGATGGAGGAATTTAACAAATAAATATATGAGGTACTTGGTTCATGAACACAGAACTTATAAACACCAAAATGGTGTGGATCATTTATTAGATAATTTTCCAAAACATTTTGTGAATCATGATAGTTAGATATAAGGCCAGTCGGACTCGGTGCTTCCTCTGGCTATCTGGTGGCAGGCAGTGTCTTAAATCTCCATATGGTTAACTGCGGTATAATAAGTTATGACTTACTTTCTTTCCTTCCTTCTCCAGCTTGCAGTTTTTTTTACCTAGTAGGGTATATTGGCAGAAACTGCTCATCATCAGTGGAGAACATCTGTTATGGATTAATGAGCCATGTGGTTCTGTTGAAAGGGAGGCTTTAGCACCCTGGAAAGTGCCTGGTGGCCTTGGGCATCTATGTTGTGCTATGTAGTGCCCAACCGGTGCCACACCTGGAAGTCTTAGAGCAGTGTCTGAGGTAACTATCTAGATGACAAAGGGCTTGTAAAAATCAGGGTTCCTGAGAATGGCGTGTGTGGCTGGGGGCTGCACAGAAGATGACAGGGAAGTGGTCCATGACTTCAACAAGTTCTTCACGCTGAGTTCTTCTGCCTCATTGGATCAAGGTCCTGGCAGGTGCTTCTCTCACATCTGAAAGAGCTGAAGGCAAGAACTGTGGTTCTATCCATTTTTTCAGTAAGTATAACTTGTTCCAGGTGACAATTAAATGGCCGCACCTCTTACGTGGCTCAGTTCAATGAAGTCCTTGAAGCCTCACAGCCCTAGAAGAGTTTAGAAGGGGAGAAGCTGGTCAAAGCCTGCCCTTGAGAACATAAAACAGAAAAATGTCCCAGTCATGCTCATCCTAATCTGATATTACAGCCCATAGCATTCTTTTCAGGTCTTTTCTTGTAGTCAGAATCAAGTGCCACCTTGGAAGAGAAAAGTAAGTTAGTTGAGCCTCTCCTGTAAGACATGGGGTCAATATATGGAACCATTTTGCTATATCCCACATTTCCCTTGCTGCAAGAGCTTCAACATGTAGAGATATGCTTATCTGGCATCATCAGGAGTAAGTTTGCATGCTGTCCTCCATAGGTCTAGAAGGGGTTAGGAGGGGGCTGTCCATTGGCCAGCAGATAATTTGTTACATGTTTAAGGTAGCAGGCCTGATTGATTTTCTTTGGTGAGCACTGCTCTCCATGATGCTGCAGTAGATGCTCTGTCGACCTCAGTGATAGGTGTAGAGAGAAAAATTGCTTGAACATTGCAGTTCCTCAAGCTCCAAAAGTTTACATTTGTTGATTATGATTATGATTAGTTGTGATGAAACACTCTTGCCATCCGCTGGACAGCACCCTAAAGAGTGACTGGTTGTTCTGCATTGTTGAATCTCTATCTCTGTTGGTGAATCATCTAAAGGTATACCTATTTTGGTGGCTCAGCAGCAAGAAGGAACTGAAAAATGAAGTGATAAAGCAGGGTGTAAATACCTTGCAGCAGTACTCAGAACCAAACCTCCAAAGCAAGTTTGATGGCTCTAGCTTGAAAGACAGCTTGATAGGAAAATAGGAACGGCTTGAAAAAAAATGCCAGTGTATGTCTATGGGGAGAAACAGAAAGATAGATGTATGAAAAAGAGGGATGTGTGTGAGCTATCTTTTTAAGCACAAGCAATATGAGTGGGTTTATTATGAATGTTTGGTAGCTGTAGCTTTTAAACTGTACAAAAAAGTATATAGACAAGAAAGTAATAATAAGACAGAGAAATGAAAGCACAATCTGTTGGTACAGTCAGTGTTGCCTCGTACAGCAAAGACAGCTTTGGAGCAAAAAATAAAACTGCATGCCCACCTTTGCTGTCGCCGCTGATTGATTGGTATCAGAGAGCATGCAGATTTTTGCCAAATCACTATTTTAAACATTTGTCAGGTTTCATGACACCAGAGGAGAGGAAGATCTTTGAGAACCTCAAGTCACCACATCTCAAATATTGGGTCCCAGTTGTGTGGTTCACTAATCTGGCCTCCAAAGCAAGGAAAGAGGGCCGGATCCAAGACAGTGTGGATCTTCAGACCATCCTCAGTGTAAGATTTGTCCTGTCTTTTTCTAATGCCTCTCAGGTCATTCATAAAACTGCACGAAAGCCTCAGTAATCAAAAACTATATATATGATGTATTTGCAGTGGTTGTGATTAAATCGGATCAAACTATAGTTTAGCTTTCCCCTGCACCATAACAGCCTGTGCTGCTAAAATATTGGACACTTTCCCAGAATGTGCCCAGCCAGTAGAGTCACATTCAAGCCATAACCTTGTGCAAGGTTAAAATGCTGGCTCACATATCTATTGACGAACTTCAGCAGTCCATCTGCCGAGACACCGCTAGGAATGTCTTAGCGAGCCAATCCAGAGAACAAGTACAAAATATAATCAGGTTACTGAGATATAGAGTGTTTGGTGGTTTGAGACTTAGGGAATTTGTTGACCTTTTACAGGGAGCTAAAGTCAGAAGATGACTAATAAAGTGCCTCCAGGGGGAAATTCATTACAGACTTGTCAGTGTTTTAAGATTACACTAGATGAAGAACAGCTGCAAGCACTTGATTGTGTTTATGTGTTCAGGAGATGAACAGATTCAGGACCTGGTGCTCTACTTTGTTTGGATACGATTGGGTTGGGATTCCCCTAGTCTACACACAGGTGAGGGGTTTTCCCTTACACTTCCCCATACAGTGCAAAACCAATAATCTCCAGTCCCAGAGTTTTCCACCTGTTACATACTCATAATGCATACCCTTTAAATCTGAGACATCCGAAGACACCCTGTCACTCTGTTCCTGCACAGAAATGAGCTTTCAACTCTCAGTGAACCCACAGCCAGATCAAGGCATATCAACATCATTATTTAGCTTAGTGGCCACATGAGACATTGTCTTTTCTTGAGGTAATTATTACCTTTTTCATCAAGGAGTCCTGTACACATTATAACATATTGTGTTAATGGCATAGTAGTAGTAATTACAAACCCACCTCCCAAAAAAGTTGGGATAATATATGAAATGCTAATAAAAACAGAAAGCAGTGATCAGTAAATTTTGTTTGACTTGTGTTGAATAGAAAACAATACAAAAACAATATTTTTTGTTTTACCTTATAAGCTTCATCGTTTTTTGTAAATATATGCTCGTTCCAAAATTGATGGCTGCAACACATTCCAAAAAAGGCAGGACAGAAGCTTATTTACAACAGTGTGTACATCATGTTTCCTTTTAACAATGCCTAATAATCATTTGGGGATTGAAGACACAAACAAATCCAGTTTTGAAAGTGAAGTTTTTGCCATTCTTCTGGCATACAAGTCTTCAGCTCTGCATTTGTGCAAGGCCTTTGTTGTAGTATTTTGAATATCAGAGGGAGACAGTTCTGGACTGCATTCAAGCCAGTCTAGGTCATGGGCTGTGGTTTTTGGGCTTGACCTTTATGCAGACCTAGACCTTTCTCTAGATTCTCTAGATTTCTCCTGAATCTTTTGATGTTATTATGCACAGAATGTTTTCACAGGTTGTGATTTTTGGTACTAGAAAACCTGGCAGAAACATAAGCACTATACGGGAACAGTGGGCCTGTACTTTTGGGGCCAATCGCATGTGTGCTTTTTGTACAGCATTTCTTCAAACAATTTTTGGAAATGAATGGAGGAACGTTGAGAATCAAATCTAACTGCCACAAATGATGTCACAAAGGACTCCTCTCTCACTGACCCATATAACATACAGGCAACAGCAACCACTTGCAATAACAGACTAAAGCAGTGGCCTAGCAACATCTTAGCAACCACCTTGGATACCATAGCAACAGCTTTGCCAAGCCAACTTAAAAATTGTTCAAGAAATCTGAACTTTCCCCTTTTTGTTTTCTTTGGCATTTGTCAGATGAAGTTATAGATCTTTTGAATGGTGACCAAGAACAATAACGAGATAATGAACAATCACAGTAACTACGGCCATCAAATTTAATGCTAATCCCTGTTAAAACATTTTTATAGTTTGACCCTTCAAACCATCTATAGCAGTGGAGGATGAAGCCTAACCGCTCACGCTGCATGTTGCAATGATTAAATATGCAGTTATAGCCTCCTCGTTCATATACAGCTTTTAAATTGCAGAGGAGTTGGAACCATTATCAGTAATTGGTTGAAACATTGATGCTGGATGTCTGTGATGAACACTGGAAACTGCACTCACTCTATGAAAATGTCATGTTCATGTGAACCCTGCATTCACTCAATGAAAATAAAGTTATTGAAATATTGACAATGATAAACACGTTCTGATGACACTTATTTTGTCCTACAACACAACGCACTGCTTTTTAAATGAAATAAGGTTAATTTTCAGCAAATCCCTTCGGGACAAATGCAGTTAATTGCAACTGACCACAGGAAATAATGTGATTAAATGCAGTTCATTGTTTTACTCATTTGACAGCCCTAATAGTAATGACAAGTAGTTGGTTTAATTATGTAATGAGAAACTGTCTCTCCCACCAACAGGTTGTAACCTTGGCGGTGTACACATTCTTCTCAACCTGTATCATAGGTCGACAATTTCTTGACCCTGCACAAGGCTATCAGGGTCATGACCTTGACCTCTATGTGCCAGTCTTCACTCTGCTCCAGTTCTTCTTCTATTCCGGGTGGCTGAAGGTCAGACAAAAACATCACACTCTCACATTTTCCTTTCTCATTTTGTCTGAGCTGTTCTGGCTCGGTTAGTGCATGGCATTTAATATTTAAATAGAAATGAGGAAGTAAGATGTGTCGTGGTGAAAAATAAATGTACTGCTGACTTAGTAAGTTACTCAAAACAAACTTTAATTAATTTTGTTTGCCATGAAGGGGCATAATACTCATAAAAACATACCTGCAAACCAAATTGGATCACACATTTCCTCCACATCCTGGCAAGCCCCAGTGAAATTACCACAAATGAGGAGCTAGCAACCAGGCATCATTATCATCAAGGCTGTCATAGAGAGAGACAGAAGCACAACTCAAAGACTCGCGGATGAATAATAAGCGCCACAAGTGAACACACTTCTAAAAATACCATACATGTGCCCTTTTCTTCTTTGTCATGCACATATCTTCAGTTCAATTAAGTGTCTGTTCCTACAGGTGGCTGAGCAGCTCATAAACCCATTTGGAGAAGATGATGATGACTTTGAGCCCAATTGGTGCATTGATAGAAACTTGCAGGTAAGTCTTGTTGAATGGACACATGGATGGATAGCAATGCACAAAAGTACCTAATGTTAATGTGTTATAAACAGTTGATACAGCGCTGTATTTGCCCCTCACCTGATTTCTTCTATGTTTGCCACATTCAAATGTTTCAGATAATTCAACTAATTTTAATAAAAGATAAAGACAACACGAGTAAACAAAAATGCAGCTTTTAAATGATCACTCCATTTATTGAAGATAAAGATTTCTTCAAAACCTATATTGCCCATGTGAAAAAGCAGTTGCCCCTTAAACCTAATTACTGGTTGCGCCACCTTTGGTAGTAACAAGTGCAATCAAATGTTTGCAATAACTTGTGATGGGTCTTCTACATCGCTGTGGAGGAATTTCAGCCCACTTATCTTTGCAGAATTGTTTTACTTCAGCTGCATTGGGGAGTTTTCGAGCATGAACTGTCCGTTTAAGTTCTTGCCACGGCAATGGGATTCAAGTCAAGACTTTGATTCAGCCAGTCCAAAACCTTTTGCTTGTGTGCTTCAGATCATTGTCCTGCTGTGTAATCCAACTGCACTTGAGTTTTAGGTCAGAAACTGACATTGTCTCTCAGTATTTTCTGATAGACATTAGAATTCATGGTTCCATCAATTATGACTCATCAGTCCACAGAATATTATCCCTTGGGGGTCAATCTAGATGTTTTTTGGCAAATGTAAGATGAGACTTTGTGTTCTTTTTGGTCAGCAACTCTCCCATGGATGCCATTTTTGCAAAGTGTCTTTCAAGTGCAAGTGAGGCCTGCAGTTCTTTAGATGTTCATTTAGGTTCTTTTGTGACCTCCCAAATCAGTCGTCAGTGTGCTCTTGGTGAAGTTTTGATAGGCCGGCCACACCTAGGAAGGTTCATCACTTCCAGGTTTTCTCCATTTGTGGATAATCGCTCTCACTGTGGTTCTCTGGATTCCCAGAGCCTTAGCAATGGCTTTGTAACCTTTTCCAAACTAGTAGATTTCAATGACATCTGTATTTGAATCTTTTTAGAATGTGCCAACATGTGCTGCTTTTTAAGAACTTCACATTACCAGACAGGTTCTATTCAAGTGATATTATTAATAGGTCTGGCAGTAATCATGCCTGGGTGTGGCTAGTGAAATTGAAGCCAATAGTCAACTGAATTTGGTTGATTTCTTAGCTAAAGGGGCGATTACTTTTTCATACTGGGCCAGGTAAGGCTGCACAGCATTTTTCCTTCAATAAAGACAGCATTTTATATTTACTTGGGTTAACTTTGTGTAATATTAAAAGTAGTGAGGTGATCTGAAACATTCAAATGTGACAAATATACAAAAAGAGAAGAAATTAGGTAGGGGACAAATACTTTTTCACAGCACTGTATGTATGGAACATATTCGGTTGCAAGAGTGATCTTGGGGTTCCTCAACCAGCTAGGCTGATGTTTTGATGGTTGGAGCTAAATCTTTCAGGAAGGTAGATCACCAGCGGCAGGGTGGGTGGCCACTGATTAAAGAGTAATATAAAGAAAATACATTACATATCTAGAGTCTTGAGTCACCTAGGGTTTTTAGCGTAATAATTTATGTCTGATCTCATTTAGAAAAGGATAACTAAGTGTGGCTGCTTTACTGCAGGTGTCTCTGATGGCAGTGGATGAGATGCATATGAATATTCCTCGCATGACTAAAGACATCTATTGGAACGACCCTGATGTGCGGCCACCGTACACACGCGCTGCTGCTGATTACTGCATCCCATCCTTCCTGGGCTCTACTACTGACATGGGGTGAGCAGGAGTCTCACAGAAACCCAAAGAAAACAGCCCTAAACCAGTGCTTCTCATACCAGTCCTCAATCGAGGCCCACCACATGGCCCATGGTTTCTAATGGAACTTACCTCTAAGTACACCTCTACCAGTATTCAGTGCCCTCAGTCAGTTGGTTCAAACGTGTTGGAGTTTGGATAGAGTAAAAATCTGCAACGTATGGTAGGCATTGTCATTGCTGAACACATTAAGGTCCATATGAATGGGGTGGCTCCACAAAAATGGAATTTTAGGTCGCTTAAAAGTGAGCTTTTGGGTAATTTTTTTTAAAAGCTCATTTTGAATACATTTTACTGTATTGGACATACATTAGGATTAGGACAAGGCTGATGACTGTGTTGTTTCTGTGTGGTCAGTTATATCTGTGTCGATTACATGTTTACTTAATTTAGCTTTATTTTATTACTACACTGTACAGTTCTATGCAAACAGTGAGGCACCCATGGCCAAATTACATATTTTGTTTATTTTTGAAGTGAATAGAAGTAAACACAACCTCTGCATAAAAATTATCTATTTGATTAACTTAAAGAATAGGAAATAAATGTAACTGTGGCATGTGCAAAAGTTTGGACAGGCGCTTAAAGTCACTTAGAGTCACAAGACTCTTTAGCATGTTCAATATATACCCACAGATTTCCAATAATGGTGAAATCAGGGGACTGTGAGGGAATGTCCAAAAGCTTTACATTATGTTTTAATCAAGTAGTTGATGATTTTTGAAGTATGACTGACTGTGTGACTATGTGTTTGTGTCACATGTGCAGTGTTTCCTGTGCCACTGGCTGCCACACCTCCTCAAAGCATTGTAGATCCATCCCTGTGCTTAAGAGATAGCAAGGTGTTCTTTTCATCAAACACTCCTTTTTTCTGCAAACATGCCTTTAATGATTGTGGCTAGAGAGTTCTATTTTTATTACCAGCTCACACTTTCTGCTGTCTGAAATAGCATTGAGCCTATCTAGATGTTGTTTTGCATACTCCAGATGTTGACAAGTATGGTCCAGATGGTCACAAGTAAAGGTTCCTTCTGATGACTCTTCCATGAAGATCATGTTTGTGCAAGCAGTGCTGCACAGTAGAATGGTACACAACCATTCCTATGTCAGCTAAATCTGATTGCAGGTTCTTTAATGTCATATGGGTGTTTTGCTTTCTCATTGGAGGAAAAAAAAAACTAAAAAGAGGTCTTCTTCATATCTCTGAAGCTTGGTCTGTCCGTCTAATGTCGATGAGATATTCTTGGATGTTTCTCCTGAGTGAAGTACATCAGTAGTCTCAAGTGTCTCCTCACAAGTTTTAGTGGAGGAGTTTTAGGAGAATCAAGTCTTCTGAGCCATTTGAGTGTCATTTGAGCAATAAAATTTTCATCTGGGTTTGCCATTCTGGCCAGCATATAATCAGTTCTAGCTAACAGTTTTCTTGGTTTTCCACATCTTGCCTTGACTTCTACGGTTCCCCTTAACTGTCATTTCTTAATGCTGTTTTGGACAGTGGAAAGTGTGAGCTGGAAGCACTTTGATATCTTTGTATAGCCTTCTCCTGCTTTGTAGGTATCAGTTAGCTTCCTTTTTCAGATCCTCTGTTGAGTATTAGCACAAGGTTTAAAGGGTCAGAGTACTTGTTACGCTTTGGAATCACTGGCAGTACTTAATGATGATTCTTGACCTGCCCAACCAGTCCTAATGCGTCAGGTTAGGCCTAACAAGTTCTGAGACTTTACAACTGGAAGGGTGTCCAAACTTTGGCACATGCCACAATTACTATTTCATTTGTTTTGTTTTTAAGTTAATCAAATATAAAGTAAGCACGCATTAACATCTGCACAAAAACGTTATTTACTGCGGAGGTTGTATTTACTTCTTTTTACTTTTCTAATCAGCAAAATATGTAATTTGGCCCATGACTATGTAATTTGGCATACAACTTAAAGTCCATACATATTAAGCCCTCTTAGTTTTTTCATCGATTGTTTTCTTAATACTTTTAAACACAACTATTGTGTTGTTGCATTTGCAACACACTGTCACTTGTGTTGATGCTCCATATTTTAATTAATACACACATTCATTCATTCAGAAATTTAATGAACTGGGCATGCCTCATGGGCTGCCTCTTTTTACATAGTAGAACAGAGGAGTGTTTGGTACAGAAGCTTCACATACTGAGAAAAGCAGATAATTAACACACATATAGTTTGTCTACCTTGTAACTGGATTTCTAATGGTTTCTTCTAGGCTTTCTGAAATACTGCAGGGTGAGGAAATTGATATTCAGGATCCCTGGCGCCGGGGGTCAGTTCTGGGCCGTATGCGTCGCTTGCTGAGCGTCCAGGAGCCACCTGATTTGCGTATCCGCCCATCTTTCAAGCGCCACAGCAGTGATATCGCCAGCTTCTTCCCCTTTGCTCCTGAACACCGTGTCCACCCTGGACCAGAGGAGAGCATGGCAGGCCACCACAGGCCATATTTCCATCCTCATCAACACCATGTGCTGGACACCCTCAGCACCCTCAGGGAGGTGAACAGCACCCCTTCTTCTCCCGACACCCCAGCGCGCAGTCTTTCTCACAAAAGTGTACCTACGTTAGAGGTTAATGAAGGTGAATCCCATCTTGGTAACCGTGACAACAGTGTTGCTCAGGAATCTTCAGTGGTGAATGCTTCGTCAGAACTGGATCAGACCCTGAAGACTGAGGCTTGTCTAGAGGAGCTTTCTGGTGAGGAGCTGAGCCGAGCAGACAACTCTGTAGAAAGAGAGCCCAAGAAGTTTTGCAGCAGATCGCTAGCTGAAAGAATGAAAAAGAGGCAGCTGTCATTTCAGCTGTCACGACAGAACTCCAGGAGCTCCATGGGGAGCCTGCCCAGCCCCAAAGCTTTATTGAAAAAGAAAGCACCAATCACAGCCCCACAATCGCCAGCCAGAAGCCCCCAGCAGGATAAGCCACAAACCACTGACGCTGAAGAAGCAAGCAGCCAGGAGAAGGAACAGAACACAAGCCGTGACAGCTGAAAACAGTTCAAAACCAGAGTGTCTCAGGTTTAAATCCCAAGGTGTAACTGGATGCCCTCTTGGGCAAAGCATTTAACCCTCCATTGCCCCAGGTGGTGCTGTGCTGCTCCCAGACTGAGTATATTTAGTTATTCAGTTATGATGTTCTACAGCTATTTTACAAAATGTTCTTTCCCATTCACACAGTTTTAGAATGTTCTCGCCTATTCATGCTGTTCCGCAATGTTCTCCTTTATTCTACTCTTATAGAATGTTTCCTCCATTCACAAAGTTCTACAGTATTCTCTCCTAGGAAGCTCTCTTTTATCCACACTCTCATAGAATGTTCTTTCCTATTCATGCTGTTCTAGAATGTTTTCCTTTATCCACATTATTCTAGAATGTTCTCTACCATTTGTGCTGTTCTAGAATGGTATCCTTCTTACACACTCTTATATAATGTTCTCCCCCCATTTAAACTGTTTGAGAACATTTATCATCCATTCACACTGAATGGATGTGCCCCCTCTTTCACACTGGTTCATTTGGATTAGAGTTTCTTGTTGAACTGTACGAAGTCAGCTGCATTCCTTAGAATATTGGTGTTTGCTGGGGAATATTAGGTCAGTTGCCTTTAGGGGGTTTTAACTGAAAAGCTGGTTCGTTATTATGATCCCTGGTACATTGGATCAACATTGTGAACAGACTCCTGTGACTAAAACACTGGTAATAATTTTGTCCAGGATTGTTTGGCACTGGTTGAAATTTTTTTGAAAGGCAGTTTCTTGAGCAATTTGCAAGTTGTGTACTCTAAATGATGTGTGTTTATCAGCTGTTTATTTATGTGTTGTGATAACTAAAAATCACAATCTGCCTGAGGATTTAGGACAATAGCAGGACTTGAAGGACATTTGAAGAAAGCTGTCTTTGCCGATAAGTATGCTCATCTTCAGCATACATTTCAAACATTCTCCTCTGCATCAAGTTTTGAACAAAGTGCCTCCGTTTTGACTTGATTTGCCAAATGTTTATATTTGGTATTTCAGTTTCCTTTTTAATATATTCCAGAGAAATTAGTGGATAAGGTTAATATTATTTAAAACAGTATCAAAGAATTCTCTTCCTATATCACTAACATGCTGCAACTGCTATTTTTTATACTTACTTAACCATTTTATGAGTATATCCTAAGTATTTTCCAATATATAATATGTAACATATACTAACATATTTATTGACTTAAAAAGGCTGGCATAAATTTAAATCAGCCATTTTTTTACCTGTTGATGGCTTTAACATCATAAAGCTCAAATGTGGGAAACAATGTTTGAGACACTGGCAACAAGTGAAGATTCATTTGCACTGAAGTGAGTTTGAACTTTGCTTCCCAGTTTCTTGGAAAGCTGGGGCCATAAGCTATGTTTCATGTTTTAAGCTTTACATAAGAGAATGCAGTGCTTAAAATGGTGAGTGTTAGAGTTAATGCTTAGAGTGTTTATAAAGTTTATTGCTAAACGAGAGAGTGTTGCTGTATGTAGTGTTCGCATGTGTGTTTTGGAGAGGTTATTTGTTTATATTTATGAATAGTAGTGAGGGTATGCACTCTGTGTTAAGTATGTGAACGTCTGTAATATCAAAACAGTGTGTGAGAGTACACTCCTATCATGCTCATTCTACCAAGAACACAGTATTTGACTCTCCATGTATTTGTTATGATGAAAGAAGTTTTTTCTTCAGAAATGGTGATTAAATTACTACTATCAGTCATAAGATGGAGCAACAGTAATACACTAATCTATGTTCGACATTCTGTTTCCAGGTTGCTTATTTTTTAAAACATTCAGTCATTTTTTTAAGATGTAGGCAGTGTGCAGGGCATTTAAAGTTCTCTAAAGCAGGGGTTTACAATCTTGTTCTTGAGGACACCATTCTAAAATTGGTGGTGGAGCTATTGCTATGCTGAATGTCAAAGACATTGTAAGTAAGACTATAGAATTAATATTGGTATTATTAAGTCATGGAAATGACCTAACTATGTCATTCCCACTACTTACTAAGTTGTGGTCATGAATTATTTTTATTAAGGAGGGATGTCACCAGCAGGGCTCCATAGCCAGTGTTGACGGGGCTTTCATTATTTTCCAGAAAAAAATTACCTCAAAAAGAGAGAGAGAAGGTAGGTGAGCTTGCTTTCATTGATTATCCCCACATTGATGTACTGCATGTGAGCTGAAGCTGTTTAAATATAGCCTGCCTAACAAAAGTGCACACGTACCTTGAAAAGAACAGTCAAGCGTTAATCTTACTCAATATAAGAGAAAATTAAAACTGATCTCAGGTGGCAAATACCAAGTTTGTGAAGAGAGATTAAAAATGAAACAAAGCCTGTAATGGCAGATTTGAACCACTAGATGTCAAAAAGGAGCCACATTTACTATGAACGAACTGCTTCAAATTTGGAATATTTGTACAAGAACAAGCACTGCAGATTTCCATACACCAATCATTTTTCCTTTTTCAATTTTTTTTAACATCCACTCATTCACTTGGACCATCTCACACACACACACACAGTCACACCTGTAAACCTTGCATTGTGCAAAGTATTATATTAAAGTGTCGAGTCCAGCAGCAGTTAAAGGATGTGTTGTGGCAAAAAAAAGGAATAAGTGAGGTAACAGTCAGATAAGTGGGGTAATAAGGCAGGCAAATGAGGTGCTAGAAGAAACGCTGGTCTGAGACGGTAGTTACAGAAGATGGAATGTTGAGTGTTGATATATATCATATACGCTATATACCAAAATATTTAAGCAGTGCAGTTGGAATATTTGTGTAATATTTTAACTATTGAAGAGAGTGATGGCTTGTGGAAAGAAGCTTCTCTGTAGCCTGGATGTCCTGATCTTCATTTGGCTGAAGCGCCAGTCTGGAGGAAGGTGCTGGAACAGGTGATGGTGTGACGAAATAATTATTGAGAAACTTAGACTCAGATTTGTTTTCATTGGTGGTGATAGGAACCAGGGGATGTGATGCAAATATAGCCATTTTATTTTGCATTCAGTGAGTGAATTTATGTTTTAATGGTTTTGAAAAATCAATGAAATTCCCCTTTAAATATTACAAATTTATTAATAATAATAATAATAATAATAATACATTTCTATTTCTGTGCAAAATATAAATAAAAACTGAATGCAACTAAAAAGGGAAAGTCCATAAACGAACTTTAAGTTGGCTTGAAAAAAACAGCTAATTACGTTAAAACGTAAAAATGGTGGAAGACAGTTTAAGTTTTCTGAAGTATTATTTGAACGTTTATAGGCGGTTGTTATGGTGTTCCAGGTTGTTGCTAAAATGTTGCTAGGTGGTGGCTATGCTATTAAATACACTAGTACCTTAAATCCACTGCTTTCTTAAAATCACTGCTACCTTAAATGAACTGATACCTTAAATCTATTGCTACTTTAAATCCAATGGTATCTTAAATTCACATAAACCCTAAATTCACAGCTGTCTCAAATCTTCTGCTACCTTAAATCTAGTGCGACCTTAAATCTACTGCCACCGTAAATTTACCTTAAATTAATTGCTACCTTAAATCCACTGCTCTCTTCAATCCAATGCCTCCTTAAATCCACTGCTACCTTAAATCCAATGCCAGCGTAAGTCCACTGCTGTCTTAAACTCAATGCATCTTTAAATCCACTTAAACCTCAAATTCACTGCTACCCTAAATCTATTGCCACTTTAAATCCACTGTTACCTTAAATCCAATGCCACCGTAAATCTCTAGCTACTTTACATTAATTGCTACTTTAAATCCAGTGCGCCCTTAAATCCAATGCCTTCTTAAATCCACTTAAACCTAAAATCCTCTGCCACCTTAAATCTCCAACTACCTTAAATTAAATGCCTCCTTAATACCACTTAAACCTTAAGTCCACTGCTTCCTTAAATCTCGTGCAAATAAACCCATTTCTACGTTAAATTCGTTGTCACTTTAAATTCAATGATACATTACCTTCATTGCTACCTTAAATCGACTGCCACCTTAAATATCCTGCTTTCTTAAATCTACTACTACCTTAAATACACTGCCACTTTTAATCCACTGGTACCTTAAATCTTCAGATACCTTAATTTAAGGTATCTGAAGGCAATAAATTTAATGTAGTAAATAACCATTAATAACTTTACTAACTTTTAATAACTCCACGATTTTAACATTTTAACCTAATTAGCAACTTAGTTCACAAACTTTCCCTTTCTAGTTACTACTGTTATTACTACTGTATGATTGTCTGCGTGAGAAGATGTGCATTGTGGCATCACTTGTGGCAGTTAGTTTGAATGTTAGTATACAAAATTTGTGCATAGAATAATAATATGAAGAAGATTACGAAGAAATGTATGTTGGCTTTTTAAAGCTAACTTAATAATAGTAAGAAGATAACAAAGAACAGTAAGCTGGCTTTTCCAAGCCAATTTAATTATGTGCAAATCATTAAAACCCTATATTTAATTGAAAATATACCAAAGACAACATATCAAATACTGAACCTGAGAAATTATGTTTATTGAAAAATAAATGCCCATTTTGAATTTCATGCCTGTCAATGATGTAATATGCACCCTTGTATGCAGTGCAGAATGTAGACATCCATGGGTGATGAGACCAGTTCACTAATTGTACAGATTTGACACATCAACAACAAATTGAATTGAGTGAACTTTTACACAAGTGGTCCAATGTGTTTGCTCAGACTAAAGGGGATTTTGGCTGTACAGATATGACTCAACATTGGAGACATATGGGTGAGATGCTGCCCATTTGAAAAAAATTCACCGCTTACCTCCTAAGATATACCAAAAATTGAGAACAGTGCTTGCAGGTATGCTAGAAAAAGGCGTAATCTCTGAGAGTTCTAGTCCTTGGGCCGCTCCAGTTTTAATGGTTAAGAAAAAGGACGAAAGTTGGAGGTTTTGTGTGGACTATCAAAGTTCTGTGACACGTAAGGATCCATTTCCCCTTCCTAGAATCAAGGAGACACTGACAACATTAACACTGGATGAATGGTTTAGTATACTATATCTGGCTAGTGGTTACTGGCAGGAAGGTGTGTATCCAGATGATTGGCCAAAGACTGCATTTCCCACGCCCCTTGGGCTATTTAAGTTCTGACGGATGCCCGGTGTCTGTAATACTCCCACCACCTTCCAGAGATTAATGCAACATTGCCTGAGGGGCCAAGTGACTGAATTTTTTGTTGATATATCTGGATGACATTATTATCTATTCTTCTGATTTTACCATGCATCTACAGCATCTGAAGCAAGTCTTTGAGAGCCTCGATCAGCCTGGGACAGGTAAATTTCTTGGGGCATGTGGCAAATGGGTGTGGTGTACATCCAGACCCAGATAAAGTTGCAGCTGTACAAGATTGGCCTGTCCCTGCCACTGTGAAAGAGGTGAGAGCCTTCCTGGGCCTTGGTGGCTATTATAGATGCTTCATTTCTGGGTTTGCTGAAGTAGCATGGCCTTTGAATGCCAGACTGGTAGGAATACCTTTAGATTGGAAAAATTTTCATCACCGAATCAGTTGGACCCCAGCTTGTCAGAGTGCCTTTGAACAATTGAAGTTATGTCTTACCCAAGCTCCTGTTATGACATATGCTGATATTTCAGCGCCTTTCATCTTATACACTGATGCCAGTAACCAAGGGTTGGGGGCAATCTTGTCTCAAGTAAAAGATGGTCATGAACTTGTCATTGGTCATTGCTTATGCCAGCTGAAGTCTCCGTCCTACTGAGAAGAATGATTCCAGTTACAGCTCCTTCAAGTTGGAACTGTTAGTGCAACTCTAAGTGGGACATCACTGAGAAGTTCAGAGATTATCTGACAAGAGTAAGTTTACTGTCATCACTGAAAACAATCCTGTGGCCTATTTGCAGACAGCCAAGCTAGGAGCGACCGAACAGAAGTGGGTAGCTCAACTGGCTAACCTTGATTTTATTTTTAAATATTATGCTGGGTGTGAAAATGGAAATGCTGATGCTTTGCCTACAGTTCCACATGCTAAGGTCTCTCAGAGTGCAGCAGTTTGAGCCAGAGGTCCAGCATCTGGAACAGGAAGAATTCATGGAAGCTATAGACTGGCGAAAGGCTCAGCAACAGGATGGTGATGTTTATCCTGTAAAGAGGTATGTGGAGCAGCTGAAAGGAAGATGATGTCTGCGCCAGAGGCCCATATTACAGAGTAAATAGGGTATATTGTATAAAGTGATTATTAAAGACACTGCTCTGGGGATCCCAAGTGGCGCAACCGTCTAAGCGAGATCGCGAGTTCGATCCCTGGTGATGCTACAGCCATCCGTGGCCGGGAGTCCAAGAGAGCACAATTGGCATCGCTCTCTGGGTAAAATTGGGTAAAATAAAAAAAAAAGACCCTGCTCTGGCTGAGATGTCACTTCTATTGGCCCCAAATGGAGGATGAGAGGAGAGAGTTCCAGTCCAGGGGTGTGTCCTCTTGTCTACAGAAAAAAGGGCAACTTTTACAGTATCTTTCCCACTAGAAGTAATCACATTGAATTTCTTACATTTAAGCAGACCCACTGATACTTATCAGAATATTTTGGTGGCAGTAGATATGTTTACTCATTATGCCTGGGCTGTCCCAAATAAGGATCAAAAAGCTAGGACTACTGTTTGGGCATTATGGTCCCCAGGTGATCCAAAAAATGGCTGCCTATTGAGGTTTCATTCTGATTGAGGTCCTAATTTTGAATCTGATTTGTTTCAACAACTATGTGAGGTCTATGGGGTGACTAGAAGTAGAACAACTCCTTACCACACGGAAGGTAATGGTAGAGTGTACAAACCAGACTTTGCTTTATATTTTGCGCACCTTTGAAGAGGAGAAACAGGATAGATGGCCAGAGTTCCTTCTTAAATAAATGCAGGCATAAAATAATACTGTACACAATGCTACAGGGTTTTATCCATTGTAACTTAAGTTTAGGCGATATGTGTGGACCCCAGTAGATGTAAACTTGGGAGTAATGGAGGGATAGCCTAGGTTAAGTTTGAGTGGGTGGGTGCAGGACCATCATTGTAAAATGACATGGGCTTATTCTGTGGCCAGGCAAAAAATGGATGAAGCAGCAGGGCAATCTAAACAAAGTTATGATCGAATGCTAAAGCTACACCCCTACTTCCTGGACAGTTTGGATAAGAGATCGGAATCGACAGGGGCAAGGAAAGTTGTGTCAATGGTGGAGCCCTGCCCCTTGTGTAGCAGTAGGGCTATTGGGGGAAACTGTATTAGTTTACAAAGGGAGGCTTAAATAGGGTGGAGCTGAAAGAGTATTGCACAGAACTGCTTTGAAACTATGTATGAGTAAGGCCATTTGTCCCCAACAAGGGGAGGCAGGTGAATAGTCTGGCAGAGGCTGAAAGAGGTCTCCTACCTTATAGTATTTGGGTGGCTTCTACCACAGAACCTGAAGAGAGAGAATAAGAATATAGTTTATCATTCTATGTGTGCTAATTTTGGCCAAAGACCAAGACATTATCAGGAAGACTTCTAGTCAAAGCAGGGACTGCTATCATTTCAGTAAGGGGGATGTTAAATGGGTCAAACCCTTTTTTCCTTATTTTATGTATACTTGAGGTTTGGATGTATTGGAGTGCTCTAGTAGTTATGAAAGTGAAATGTTTTCCCATTTTTGCTTTATATAGGATTTTAGTTGCTCAACAGCACTAATGCACCTGCCTACAATCTCAGATGCTGGTTTTTGAACTGTGTGCTGATTGCAAGCCGGATAGTCCCTCTCTTCTGTAGTCCGGAGGACGTGGCGTCCATGATTTCCAAAAAGAATTTACCATTTTGACAAATTAGACCACAGGACACTTTTCCACTTCACCTCAGTCCATCTTAAAAGAGCTTAGGCCCAAAGAAAGTGCCAGTGTTTCCGGATCTTGTTTGTATATGTTTTTTTCTTTGCAAAGTTTTCACTTGCATTTGTGGATGCAGTGATGAACTATGTTCACAGATAGTGGTTTTTGGAAGTGTTTTTAAGACCATGCAGTGATTTCCAGTCGTGTCTGTTTTTAATGCAGTGCCACGTGAGGGCCCGAAGATCACGGCTGGCCAATACTGTTTTTTGGCCTTGTTCCTTGCATACAGAGATTTCTCCAGATTGTCTGAATCTTTTAATGATATCATTTACTGTAGATGATGAAATATCCAAGTTCTTTGCTATTTTACATTGAGAAACATTATTCTTAAATTGTTGCAGTGTTTGCCCATACAGTCTTTCATAGAGTGGTAAACCCAGTCCCATCTTTACTACTCAAAGACAAAATAGGCACAAGACAAATAAAAACAATAAAATTTCTCAGTTTCAACATTTGTCTTTGTACTATTTTCAGTATAGAGCTTAAATGATTTGCACATGATTGCATTCTATTTTTATTTACATTTTGCACAGTGTCCCAGTGTCCCAAACAGGCTCCAACATTTTGCACAGTGTCCCAAATTTTTTGGATTTTTTGGGGTTATAATAATAATAATAATAACAACAATAATCATTCAGACTCAGTTATGCTGTTTACTAAGGAAAATATTTACTTAATTTAAGGAAGTACAGGCCAAAACTAAGACAGGGTTCCGAGAATGGCACAGAAATGAAGAGGCAGCTTCATAAACTGAATAAAATCCATCTTGCCTAATTCAAACCATTACAAATGCAGAGGAACATTAACTATGTTCATGGATGGCATCATATAAAAATGGCCACATCAATTCTGAAATCCAAAATGGTCCTATTGCCATGTTAAGAAAACACTGAAAGCACTCTAAAAGTACAAAAACATTGATTCTTTGTAAGTGAGTGAGGGTTTACTGTGTTGCTGGATCCATTTGAGGCTGATTAGATCGTTCTGTTCTTTTACCACCATCTTTTGCAGAACGCTCTTTAACCCGTAACAGCTTAAACCAGTGCTAGCCAGGGGGCTTCTGTCAGTAGGCCATTCCAGGCTCTAACTTATTTGTCTTCTGTTTGTATTAATCCACTTGTAAATACATCCTCTATTTATTTAATACACATTAGGCTGTCACTCTCCCTCTGGCCTCAGCAACAGAATAAAACAACAGGTATTCTCAGCATTCTTGACAATCTATGTACAGGCTCCAACAATGCTGCACAACAGACAGGTGCCTCAAAATCTCATTACAGCAATGATGTCATTTCAAAGCAGGAAGACTCTTTCAGTCTACTTTCATGTCTAGAAAGACTATTTGCCCATTACTGACAATCATGAATAAACATCAGGTTTCTGTACTGATTGTCATATATGTCATGAGAATGTCATATAGGAGCATTGAGATCTAAATGGGACCAGATTATTTCTAAAGCATATCAGTGTAGCAGATTACTATTTCTAGGCCAGGGTCTGTATTCATAAAGCATTTTAGAGTGTCCAATGACTCCCAAACTTTCTCAAAACTCTCAGCCATGAGAAACTCAGCTAGTTTCCAATTTCCAATGAAACAGTCCTTCACCAAGGACCAAACACTAAAATGTGCAGGCCAGGAATATGTCAGGACCAGAACTGGGCAACAGTGTATTAAACAATTTTTTGTAATAGTACCTTTATCCAATATCATGTAATAGTATTTTTAGAAATTAGACTGTGTGACAAGCCAAACTGCCAAGCAAAAGAATGGGCACAGTCACTCCATAAGGGTTTGAAAGGCTATGACTGTACCATATTGACATAAAATGTGCTGTTCAATGAAGCTGTTGGATGTCACGATGACGATATGAGAAACGATAAATTATTAAAATAGTGTGCCTTTGACTGGACGCAAGACGTGTAAACAGAAATCTAGCAAACCTCTCATTCATTCATTCAAAAAAAAAATACAAAAGCACTACTCACTATTATGCAAAATAGAAAGATACTAACTTACATTAGAACTGCAAGCACATTTTTTTGTGCACTGAAAGGCTGAGAAAGAGTCAGCATTAGCTCTACAGCTTTTTTCCCGTAAAGCCTACAAAAAACAACCATCTATTTTTTTATATCTATTTTTGTTTATTCATTTTTTGTTAATTATTGAATATGTTTGTTGTGACAGTAGCCATTACAGCCTCACACACTTAAAACATACTGGATGTGAGAACAATGTTTGATACATTTTTACAGGCTTGTAGTTGGATGGAGTAGTTTTTTAGTTGTGCGTTTGTGTGTTTTGGCCATTTAGACGAATAGTTAAATTACTTGTCCCCCATGTGATAGAGCACTGTATAACCTCAACCTGCAAGTGTTATAGCGACAGGCTGCTGGAGATTTTGAAAGTATAAAAATACAAACTCCACTCTAAAGGTAGCACACATTGCACTACACTACGCTCAAATTACTATAAAGTTCAGGACGTTTTATTATTTTCAACAGTTGCTATCCTGAGGGCGCTGCACCAACTCAGCACCCCCACTTCCCACATCTCTGTTTATTACAATGTGCCGAATCGCTTCCCTCCCCCACTGCTGGCTGCTTTGGGGGCGTATCACTAAATTACCAGCAGGTTGAGGTGCAAAGAGGGAAAGTGTGTGCAGTTTAAAGAAAATTAGCAACGAATGAAAACGAGGCAAATCATTTCACATGATGTCAGCGTTCATGTACATACTGCTTAAAATTTTAGCACCTCTAATTTAAAAGACCTTCCTGCCTCCCTCGGGTTCAGCAATCAGCAAGCTGATTGGCTCTTTTTTTTGAAGGCTGAGACTTTCTCTTTAAACGGACGCCATGTTGAACGTTACAAGCTTTCCCATTAATATTTCAACCAGTGACTGGTCTCTTCATTTATAACGTCTCTGGTAACACTCATTAGGCTTATAACAGTTTGCACCAGCAATGTAATGACGTCTCTCTGGTGCTGCATGTATCAGCTAATTTGATCTGTTCTGACATGCAGCTCTTAACATGTTTATTGTGACAAACTGTATCACGATAACGATAAAAATACGATTGATCGTGCAGCCCAACCTGTCTCAGTGCAAAATATCGTTAAGCTGAAGAACATCTGTGTTTTGGATAATTAATATTATTATCCAACTTTCAAAGGTGGCACAGTAAAAGCTGTTTAGAGTTTGTATTATTCCAAATGTAAATAATGAGTATTTCATGTTTTGATTTTGTTGTTTCTTAGTATATAGTGACTGAGGTCAGTATGAGAAAGTGAGAGAACTTCTCTATATGAATACAGACCCTTCTGTTCTGTGGTACACTGCAGTTAATACAGATTAAAGAAACACCTTTCTCAGTAGCATGGGAAAAATAGCCAAAAACACAGGGGAAACACTGAGGCTATGTACAGTATATAAACGAGGAGAATAAAAACACTAAAACAGAAGAATATGCATAAAATATAGTATCAAACTCCAATGTACATTGGTAGAAAGGAATAAAAATGTCTCTTTCCTAAAAAAAGAAAGACAAATATGTATTTGGAACAATAGTTAAAGTAGGTCTATAAATACAGAAGAAGCTGGGGTCTGAATGGAGCTGGGCTTAAGGAGGACCAGTCAGCCTCATGATGGTTCATTCACTGTTCTCTCCAGCTCAATGACTTTTGGGCTCTCGTTTGACTGCTGCTCCACTGACCTGCGGAAGGACATGAAAACATTAAAACTGAGTTAGATGGCCATGCTAGACATTGCATTAGATAAGAATTACAAAATGAATAACAATTGATTTTTATACCAAGATTTATTTAGTATGTACTTATTTATTGATTGATTGAGATAATAAAACCGATTTGTCATTATATTAATCACTTGACCATTTAAAAACAGATTTTGGGAACTGTCTAGTCATGTTAAGTTTCAAATAACGTTCAAATTTTCATTTTGCTTTGAACACACGTGTTCAAAGCAAACACACAGACAAGGGGAGTTCAACATGCTTTAACATTACCTGTGTGCGTGCAGGTCTATGAGAAGGGGCTTTTGTGTGTTTGTTCCATTGTTCTGAATAAAAGGCGGGTGGAGTTCTGCCGCCTGCAACTCTGCCTGTTTGGGCCTGTGCTGCTGGTCCAGGCGCCACGCTGCCATGACATTTACTTGAGTGTCCCATTCAGGATACTCCCCACCAAGCCCGGAGGGGTGCAACTCATCACCCCCCCTTTGATCCTCATAAACTAGCAAGTTCCTGGACTTCACTGTTAAATGAACACATCAGAATACATTAGCCAACAACTTAAAACACACTTTCAACTTATTTATGAGTTTGCACATGTTAAAAAAGGGGGAGTTTTGTGGCTGGGGCTGGTTACACCTCGCTTAATCTGATTAAATTTGGTGTTAGCCACATGCAATAATATGTCTGTGAAAATTAGTAAGACCCTTATACTTGTGTGTTAGAATGTGATACCTGTAGCAGTGTAGGATTCTTGTATCGTGAGGTCTCTGGACAGGTCAGTTTTTGTGATGGATGAACAGGGGCTCAGGCCCTGGTAAAAGCTGCCCAGGAACACAGCAAAACACAGCACCACAACCTACAGAACAGAGTACAGGCATTCGTAACAGAACTAGACAACACAGACATGGGCAACTTAGCTTTGTTTCCCCAACCTCAAGTGCTTGTTTATGAACAGTTTATAATGACACCTGAATGAACTTTCGTTCAATGGACTGTTGTACTGAAGTCCTTAATGTGCATGTAAATCTAAAATTATAATAGCCATAAAAGTTAACCTATAGTCAATGCTGTGACTCATATTCACCTATAACAGCAATACCCCATTTCTGAGTAGTTTAATGCTATTATCAGTCGGAGAACCAATACTACTATCAGCATTTCTAAACTTACTTATTAGTTAAATTAATGTTCTTACAATCCATACACTACACATGCTAAAATTAGATGTTGGATTCTTGGTTTTATTACTCTCTTTCACACAAACATAACTAAGTTGTGCGAGTGAGGCAGGTGTTCTTACCATGAGGCATGTGGAGGTCTGAGTGCTGGCCATTCTGCAAGAACGAGGGACCTTTCCTGCAACCACAGCCTGAAGAGAGTGTAGCTGCTGCAACAGGGACCTGAGCCAAAGTCAAAGAGAGAGCGAGAAATCACATATTATCTCCTTATCTGAATTGTCCATTCAGCAGTTTTTGGAGCCCAATGCAGGAAACCAATATGAATGTACAATTACTACGATCCACTGCTACACTAAATATGTCTTGACAGATTCTATTTGAGGTAAAAGTGAAACTGTGTAAATCTTTGCCCAAACCATCACTTTAAAGGTAAACATTTTTCTTTTGAGTTGAGCTTTGTATGAAAAAAGAAGAATGTGTAGATGTCTTACTTGTTGGTACTTTCTAGAGTCTCTACTTTCCTGCGCAACTCACTGTTCTCATTAGAGCATGTCTCCACCCTGTAGACAGAAAGAGTACTGGTCATATCACACACTACTACAGTTTCACTTTTCAGACTATGAAAGGTACTCAAAACCCTTTGTAATTGGAAATGCAAGAAGTCCAAAGAGGGAATAACATACAATTCTACAGGCTTTTCAAAATGGTCCACAGTAGAATGGAATACATACTTTTTCTCAAGGGCATCCATGTACTCTTTCTTCTTTCTGCGGCTTTCCTGAGCAGAAATCTGAGAAGGAGAAATTTGGTATAATCATATTCATTATTACAGTAATCTGAAACACTGATTTTTTGTACTGATTTTTTATCTTGGATGTGCATATTAAACAGAATTCATCATATCATCATGTTATTTTCCATAGACATTAAAAAATGCAATGCCTTTTCCCCCAAACATCTTATGACTTTTGGTTATGTCAGCAAATGACAGTGGATGGGAAAAAATACATCCTCTCTCAACTTCCCTACATATCATCAAGTGAAAGGTTCAGCTAGGCTCAAAGTTTTTGTATGAAACACATTGTGGTCTTCAGTGACAGAACTGATCTAGATAGATAGATAGATAGATAGATAGATAAATAGATAGATAGAACATCTGTTACCCCACACATGCAGTGCCAAAGTAATGTAATTATACTGGTGCTAAGTACTATTAGAAGCCCTAAAATAAGGGCTTCCTGCACTGAAACCCTGCTCTGTTCCATGCACAGCAAGTACCTTAACCAAACATCCAATCACAAAAGAAATAAAAAAAAATATTTAATAATTTTGGAGGCCTATACTAAAAATTAAAATATACACATATACTTATGTTTGTAGCCTGACCGATATCATGAATAGAAAAAGCTGTTCAGGGAATCCTGACTCTACTTAGACTGAAGCACCTATGCGAGTTCCATGAAGTGCCGTGTAAGAGCATTTATGTGACTCTGTAACATGGTCTGGGGAGTTTTCCCCCCTGCCAGCTGTGGAACTGTGTGTGTGTGTTGTGGGTTGTTTTGTTTATTGTGTATTTTGTCAATTCTGTATGTCTTTTTTTCTCTTTTGAGAAAGGCACTTTATAAATTAAACATATTTTTTTATTCATGTTTCACAGGCTACAAATTCTCAGAAAGGTAGCGGCATTAGCCGTCAAACAGCTGTCGATGCTTCATGCTTCACTTCAATGACACTGTCTCAAGTCCACAAAAAACATGCTTGCTAATTTGACCTAAGGAGCTATTAGTATTTCATTTTTATTTTGCAAAATAGTGAACAATGCTTTTGTAATTTTGTATTTTATAGTTTTCTGCTTAAAGGAGAGGTTGAGTAGATTTCTGTTTACACAGTAAAGAAAAAACCTAAAAAAAACCCAAAAAAACAAAAAACAACAAAAAATACAATCAATAAAAGTACAAAAAAGGTCTGTACTTGTGGCATATCCAGACAGAGACACACAATTTTAACAATAAGGTATCGCTTCTCATATTGTCATGATGATTTCCAGCAGCTCAACTGAAATGTGTTATGATTTTCGATTCACACTGATTCAAATCTCTATGCTCTAAATGTAGAGCATGCCAGGATCAAAAGACAGAGAGGAAGCTTTGTTCAGAAACGAGCAGACATATGTACACTTACTTTGTTCTTGATCTTTCTGCGGATCTTTTTGAGGGCCTTCTCCTCAGACTTGGACAGAGGCAGTTTAGTGGGGACAGGGTATCCCTCCGCAATCAGAGTTCGTCTCTCTTCCTCTGTCAGCAGGAGAGGCCCAGAGCCCTGCAGTTTCTGTCAGCAGAGAACAAGCCACATAAAAGAGATGTGAAAAAAAAGAGAAAAATAAGAAAGATGACAAAGATATGGGAAACAGAGAGAGAGAGAGAAGAGAGAGAGAGTAAAGATTGTATAAAATATAAAATACAAAAGTAGAAAATATCATTAGTTCACATCGAGCACCCCGACAACACTGTGTGTGTTTGTGTGTGTGTGAGTGAGTAAACACTGATACTCACATGTGGGGCAGTGAGCAGGGGTGAGTTTGAGAGCGAGTTGGGGGCACGTGGTGCCACCTTAAGGACAGCAGGGGTCTGTGTGGGGCTGGCAGGGGCGCAGGGGTGTACAGGGCTCTGACTGCCTTCTGTGTCACTGCCATGAGAACTGGGGGGAGTTGGGGGCATCTGGAGGGCTTCCAGTTCTGCACACAGAACACACGGATTACTATGACGAAAGCAGTCCATTAGATTATGCTGAGTGAGCATCAGAGTAGATTGCTATAGTGGAATTTTTCACCAGCCTAATGTAAAAGAATTGTTTGTCTATGTTTAAAAGAAGTGTTCAACAAATGGAATATGGAGTGTCCTGCTTTGCACAACCCTTACCTTTAGAAGAGAGATTGAGGAACTGATCCACCTCATGTGGCTCCAGCTTAATCTGCGGGCTAAAGCTCTCACTATCCTCCTTTATCTATAAGAGACCACATAGAAAGCCTTAGTCTTGGTGTAGTTTTTGCCTTTTAATAATATTTTTATATTATTATTATTATTATTATTACTATTATTATTATTGTCACACATTTTCTTTCATACAATGCAGCTTAACCCATTCAACCGTAGGCTTATCACTGAGTTAAAGACTTAATCACTTTTCTCATGTTTTATTTCAGGAACTTCCACCAAGCAGCATTTGATGAGCTTAAAATCCAGCAAGGGATCTAATCTGAGAGACACTCTGTAATTTAGGTGCCAAATCATTTATAGCTTTAAAAACAAATAACTAAAAATCTAGAGGAAACTGGCAACCAGTACACAAAAAAAGCAAGAAAAGATGTTCTGCCTTTTGCTACGAGTTAGTAAAATAGCAGCAATTAGTAAACTCTGTTTGGCCTGTATTCAATTGAAAATGTTATAAAAACATGTGATGTTTTATCTTATGCACTTTTTTTTGTACATATTTTTTGTACATATTTTTTTTTTTTTAGTTTTTAAGTTCTAGAAAAGGTTGGACAGGAGCATGTTCACCACTGTGTTCCATCTACTTTCCTTTCAACAGCACTTAAAATAACGGTAGACTGAAGATACAAATTGATCCAGTTTCAAATGCATTTTTTTTTTAACATTCTTCTGTTGGACAAGTTTTCAGTTGTGCAACCATATGGGGCCTTTGTTGTCATATATTGAACTCAATAAGACATACATTTTCAATGGGAGACACTTCTGGACTGTCTTCCATTGAAAACAGGCCAGTGTAGCACCCGCGGTCTCTGACTGTGCAGCCATGCTGTTGTAACGTGCAAAATGTGGCTTGGTGTTGTCATGTTGAAATAAACAGACATCCCTGAAAAAGGCAGCATATTTTGCTCAAAAATGTGTTCATTGTTAATGGTGCTTTCACAGATATACCCATTAATACTAATGGATTTTGAACTGTACACTGGTAACAGTCCGGATGGTCCTTCTCTTCTTTGGGCTGGAGGACACAATATCCATAGTTTCCATAAACAATCTGAAAAGTGGACTCTTCAGACCACAATTCATGTTTGCACTGTACAAACAGTGTTCACTGACAATTGTTTGTAAAAGTATTCTTGACCCCATGTGGTGATATCTATCTATCTATCTATCTATCTATCTATCTATCTATCTATCTATCTCATCCATCCATCCATCCATCCATCACCTTTTCCTTTATAGAGAGTACTTCAGATTCCCTGAAACATTTGATTATATTTAGCACTGTAGAGGGTGAAATACCTAAAATCCTTGCAATCCCTGAGTGTGGACCATTACTTTAAACTGTTGGATTGTTAGCCGATGCACTTTTGTCAAAGTGGCTGCCTCGGCACATGCTTATTCATAAAGGACTAGGCTTTTCCTGGGTGCTCCTTTTATATCCAAGCTTGACTGCATCACTTGTTTAACAATGTTCCTGGTCTTAAATTACTTATGTTCCGAATTTTTAGGAATATGTTGCAGGCCTCAATTTAAGGATGCACCTATCTTTACAATCTTTCCAAATAACAATAAAGTTGATAGTATAAAACATTAAATATCCCTTCTCTGTACTGTTTTTTTTTTCCAAATACAGGTCAAAGTCGATTTATAAATCACTGCTTTTTGTTTTCATTTGCATTTTACTTACTGTCCCAGTTTTTTGGAACTGGGTTAATAATTCAGTAAATAGGCTATTGTAGTAGTCTAGGCAAGCAAAGACAAAAGACAAACCCAGAAGTCAACTTCTTAGCTATGTTTCTGATGTTTCTGAGGTGAAAATTTTTTTTTTTTTCACCTTGCCTACACTGGCCTGTGTGGTCTGAGGGAGGGTGAGTGTTAAAGCCGGTCTAGGGGGTATGGTCTCTGGCTCGATGGACGAGCCCTCAGGGGACAAATTGAGGGTCAGAGTGGGAAGTAGATTTGGAGACTCGCAAAGCAGAGGCTCCATCTTTAGCCGCTTCTTCTCCTGCTCAGCTGGCCACTCCTCACTGTCTGAGTCTCCTGCAGAGACGGACAAAGTGTTAGTCTTCGTAGTATTAGACCACCACTAAGTTCAAATAGTTAATAATAGTAATAAATGAGAAGAACAGAAAGAACAACAAAAGAAAGTAGCCCTACAAAATCACTTGGAGTATAAATACATAAGAGCTGATAGCAGTGAACTGACACAAAATCACAGAATACACTCCTGTAAGTACAAGAACAGTACTCATCAAAAGTTTAGACACATTTTGAATTTGTTTCAAAGATAAATCTAAATAGTGATGTTGCTAAGTATTTATGTATGTATTAATTTATAAAAAAATGTTACATGTAAAAAATACTACTTGGCCTGCACACCAACTAGTAGTTTTTCGCAGCCAGCAACATGCCAGCTTATTTTATTTCTTTTACAAAAGCATTCCAGGTGGCTCATCATTAAGTTGCTTGAGAGAATACCAAGTGTGTGCCTAACTTTATCAGAACAAAAAGAGGCTAAATTCAAAAATCTAGAATAAAAAAAAAATCTTTTTTTAGTCATTCCACAATTCTTATGTGTTATTTCATGGTTAAATGTCTTCATTATGTTACTATTACATTATGTAAATTATTTTTATTAATTTTTTTTCCATTCATTCATCCATCCATCCATCTTCTAAGCCACTTATCCTCCTGGGTAGCAAGGAGCAGACACACAGACAATACTCATTCACACACACTCACACCTAGGGGCAATTTAGTATCTCCAATTGGTCTAACTCTTTTGGTCTAACTCTTTGGAGCGGGAGGAAACTCGAGCACCTGGAGGAAGCTACAGTGCTACCCACCGCTATAGCCACATAGATGGATGGATGGATGGATGGATGGATAAAAAAATAAAATCATATATAAATAAAATTCCAACATTTTGCTTTTCTGCTTTTCTCTGCAATCAAGTTGTAACCCAAATGCACCAAAAATAATGTGCTGCATATAAAACAGCTATGTAAAAAATGGTAAATACACAGTATAGTCAGATAAGTACATCATGATGTACAAACCTCAATTTCAAAATGTGCAAAATATCAAATAACAAGCCTTTGTCAATGAACATCATTTATCACTGCATAAATTTAAGACTGTACTATGCACAGTGGAAGCCATAAGTCAAGAACATTCAGAAACACAGCCAGTTTCTCTGAACTCATCTGAAATGGACTGATGCATAGTGATTAATTTTTTGTTTTTTTGAATATGTCAATCTTTCAGATTGTTGATGGAAATAATGGATGCTGTGTTCTCTCAAAGAAGACAAGGCCCATCCAGATTGTTACCAATGTAAAGTTCAAAAGACAGGGTCTGTCATGCTATGGGGGTGTACATGGCACATTATAACTTGCACATCTGTAAAGGCACCATTAACACTCAAAGATCTATACACTGCCTTCTAGTCTTTTTTTTCCGCATGTGTTTTAAGAGCACAGCGGCATAATGAGTGTGGATGCTAGACTGGCCTGCCTGCAGTTCAGCTCTGTCTCCCACTGAAAACACGAAGCACAGTATAAAGCACAAAATATGATCATCAAAACTGAATCAACTGGTGTCTTCAGTTCCCAAATGTCTATTAAGTGCTGTTAAAAGAAAAGGTGATGTAACACAACGGTAAACATGCTCCTATCCTAACTGTTTTGTAAAGCACTGCTGGCACCAGATTTGGATTAACCACACAAAAACTGAAATATTTACAAAAAAGTCAGTGTACATGTTTTGTACTGTTTTCAATTTAAAGCTGGTCAAATTGAATTTACTAATCATTACTTTCTGTTTTTTTTTAAATTAGCATTTCACATACTGTCTCAACTTTTTTGGAATTGAGGTTTCAAACATAACTATTACAGTAACACAGCACTATATTGACCAACCCCTAGTTAGAGAAAGCTGCTTTTCCCTGAGCTCACCAGACTTGCTGCCTGTGTCTCCAGGCAGGTGGGACAGTGGAGACTGTGGGCGAGAGTCACCGCTCAGTGAATAGCTGTGTTCAGCCTGGATATGCGGCTGCACTGGAGATTGGGGGATCAGCTCCTCCTCAGTGTCCATCGCTTCACCCCTCCCTGAAAGGAAAGGGTCACTCAGCAGCTGGACCAGTAAGGCCTCCTGAGACAGGTCATCAAGGAGCTCAGTGAAGTGCTGCAACGATAAGATGGAAAATAAAGGTTAACAACTGAACTAGATGTGTTCAGATGTGTTCAGATACGCATGCTGGGACAATTAAGATGAGGTAAACTGCCTGAGGTGCAGCAGCAGAGACAATAGCCTGTAGTTATTAAGTGGTGTTTAAACTGCATCCTATACATAGTGGTTCAATCACAATTAGTACATTCGCTTGGATCTCACATTCCATCACCTGCAGGGTCCAGTCAAAGCAAAGCAACGATCAACTTTCAAGACAAAGTCAGAATCCATCTTATCTCTCTCCCTCCAATCAGAAATTTCTTCCTAAGCTGTCTGGCTGGAGGGTAGATGCTCCCCCCCTCCTCTTTTTTCAGTGCATTCTTGCCTCCTGTGTCAACATACAAAATCATCTGCTGCCTTGAAACAAGTCAAGACAGGCTGTTTTTACAGTCTGACAAGCTCTTTCCTTAAGCTAACTCTTCTGTTCATTGTACATTTCCTCTCTATTTCTGCCATAGAATAACCTCCGTGCTACCTAGTGCATCACCTTTGCCAGCTTTGCCATCCTTCTCTGGTAGTATTTCATCAGCTTCTACTGTGACAAATGAAAATCCCAATACATTTCTGTGCTCTTTGCTACCATTGTAAGAGCTCATCCACATGCCACAAATCAGTTACAGACAGGGGAAGGGAAGGACAAGACTAAATTCCTGAGTAGGGCTGAGTTTGGTTAAACTCGTTTGCTGGCCGACAACAGCACTTTACTGAATGCCCTGTTATAAACCAAAACTTGAGCTACTGAGTGATTCTGTATGACATTCTGAAATATTTTGTGAATTTTAAACACAATTTGTACTTTACCATTTCATATCCCATGTACTGATTAAATGTTGGGGAAATTATGCTTTATATTTAGTATATTTCAATTTAGTCTGAAATAAATTGTTCACATAAAGCTTTGTGACAACCAGTATTTGTTTCAAGCATATGTAAGAATGAAAATGCAACCTAATACTATTTCCAGGAGAAACAAAAAATCCAAAGGAACAGGATCAGGGCCAATTTTAATGGATTGAGTATCGGCTATATTAACCCAATTTAAGCTCCCATCCTCTGTTTCTTGTTTTACTAACTTCACTGTTGTACAGTGATGTAAGCAGGCATTACTCACAACCTGCAGCAGTGAGATAGCTTTTCAGAAGGTAAGAAAGAAATCTGAATATCTGCAATGTTTTACAGTGATTTTTCTTTTTTTCTGTTTTACAGTGAAATACGAAAAATATGAAATGTCAGCAAGAGGCTGTCACGCGTTGAGTCTTTTTTCTGACACTTACTGTGAGCAGCATGCTACCAGATACTACACAGGAAGTGTATTATTAAATGGCAGCCAAGCATGTTTTACCTAAATTATCTATGTTATCTATGAAAGTGCAAAGATAGTAATAGAATCAGCTGTACTCATCTTAAGATGAGTACAGAATGGGTCAAAATGGGTCAGATCTAGATCTAGTCATTCACAAACAATTTTTTTAGACATTCTCTTTTTATCTTAAACTGATGAGTGTGGGTAACAATCTTGACAAAATCCTTAAATAAAATGTTAAGCCAGGATTTAAAGGTACACACACAGAGGGTTCACTGAGTTCCGGACAATCAAGGCATGTGTGCTTAGCCCTAAACTGCCAGAAGTACATTCGTGGATTCTGGACAAATGGGCCAAGATTCATATGCAGCTGACTCAGAACTGAGAGCTCACTGGTCTTGGTTAAGAAGCAAAGCAGGACACTTTCTGATCTATCAGGACGAGCCAGTGTGTCATATACAGTGATTCAAATACATAGCAGCTTGAGGGTGGACGGCGGTAAAGAGGGACAAAGGCACAGAAGTTAACTGCTGTGTAATGCTGATGTACAGTAAACAATGGCAGATTGTTTGGTCCAGCTCAGGCCACAGGTCAAACAAAGCTCCATTCAAAAGCACAGGCCTTTGTGGGACCTGCAAAACTGGACCTGGTGATGCATTTGATCCAGTGTAAGAGAAAAGAGTGGGTTCAGGGTTCCATTGTCTCAATCAGTCAACATATTATTACACAACATTTCTATGGATATGTACTTTTCTGAGTATTTTATATTCATAATACATTTACTCATACCTGAGTATAACCATTTAAATAAAAACATAAATGAACATAATCTAGCTACAAACATCTTGTATGGCACATCCGTAATGTCTTATTTCTGTATCCTTGTATCTAGGTATCGGCACTGCCTCCAGTATCTGGCAGTATTTTAGATCAAGAGGAGAAAAAAATGGTTGCTAATTCCTGTAAAAGTAAATGTAGTATTTTTGTGAAGTAAAACATACACTTTTTACTTGATTGCATTTAATTCCTTTATCTGTACTTACTATTTTACTCAGGGCTGCAGGAGCCACGGTAGCGAGCAGGCATTTGACCCACCACTTTTCAAAGTACTGTGGCGACGCCCCACTACTTTTTGAGTTCAGAATGCACACATAAAAACCTCCGCTTTCCCTAAACTGCATAAAGTGCTGACCGACACGAATAGACATAGTAAAACTTAGCGGCAGAGCCAATCAGAATCTCCATTTCAACTGGAAGGCTTTTGGTTTTGACATACGATTCCATCCGTATTCAGATCTGCACCAAACAACTGAACCGCGCTAATTCACAAGGGAGTTCAACACTTTTTTTCCAGTGCACATTATTGTGAGCTGCTGTAAATAACAAGAGACAAGCAATAAAATAATGATATGCATTAGATTTTGGCACATGGACCGTGGAGCATATTTTTGGCCAAGCGTCAGCGACCTGATCAGTTAAATTTAAATTGGTATACATACTGGTATGGGTACAGTAGACTTATCAATCAATACTCAACTAAAAGTATTAATACTTGCATGAAATAATTAAGTTAAAGTATCTTCCTCAAAACAACTTGAGTAGAAATACAGAAGAAGCAAGTCAAAAATCTACTTAAGTATTTAGTGCTGCAGTGGAACTTTTTAGTACATCCAGCATTTACCAGCATGGGAACTGAAGTCTGTTCTTCTCTTTTTTGGATTGTAAAATACAAAACTCCAAAGTCAGAGATGTAACCAATCACAAAGCAGTACAAATATTGCCACCATCAAAACAAACTGAAATTAAACACAAAAAATGGAATTAGTAACTAAATACAAATTGCTAAAATGTAACAGAGTTAAAATATTCCTTTAGTTACTTTAGTAGAAGTAATATGATCTGAAAATACTCAGAAGAGTAAAAATCCATCAATATTTTACTGAAGTACATGTACTTGAGTAAATGTAACTAGTTACTACCCACCTCTAAATACGTTCATAAAGACCTCAGTAGCATAACATGAAGGGCAATTTTGGTCAGTGGCACCCCTGATTTGATAAGCAAGATCTCAAATCTCACATCTAGTCAATAAATCTAATATTTTTCATCTTAAGATTGTTGTGACCTTATTATAAGATTATGTACCTTACTTTTTCGACTTTGTATTACGTTTTAGATGATTTTAGTGAGTCAAATTATCTCACCATATTAGAACATGTTTTTAATTATTGTAAGAAACATGCAAATTATCTGCCAATCACCTAAAACAAGAAAAACTGATTTGAAATAAGTTAGGTAATTTTTTATTAAGGTAACAACAATTCTCAAGATGAGAAAATATGAAATATATGGACTTGGTTTAAGATAATTTCGCTTGCCAAGATACCATTTCTGCAGTGTTATGATTTTTTGTTTCAGTTAATTTTAATTTGAATTCAGTTTTAGTTAATTTCATTCTGTTCTCTCAGTTCAGCACCTGGACTGCTTTGTTGTTTCTCATACTCTTCCTTCTTAAGCATTAGCATTTTATTTTAGACCCAAAGGAACCTAAAAATAAAAGAATACAACCTAGCAAACTTGAGTTCCTATGCTGATACATTCTGGATGTACTAAGAAATCCCACTGCAGTTCTGTAGAAAAGCTGTTGACCTGATACTTTTTACTTGTTTTGTAGCAACTTTCACATCTACTTCAATAATTAATTTCCAAAAGTAGTGAAGTAGGGGTACTATTATTTGTTTTTACAATACTCTACCCACCAAGACTTCCTTTAATCCTCCGCAATCTTTTGCCCTGATTTTTTGGATCAGAAAAATCTTAAGCAATGAAAAATAGGCGGTGCTGGGAGCATTTTCTGATTATTAAGAAACAAAAGTGAACAGAGATTGATGGAAAGATTGAAGAAGCAGTGGAAAGTGACTGTGATGCATAAAAATGGCAAGAACTCAAACATGTGGGTTTGATTACAGGCTGAGTCAACTTCATGGGGGAGAGAGAGAGTGAAAGAGAGAGTGACGTAAGCAGACAGACAGACAGACAGACAGGCAGACAGACAGACAGAAAAGCAAGAAAACTCTGCGCATGTACATCAAGACTAAGGCCCAATCCCAATTTACCCCTTGGCCCTACCACTTAGCCCTTACCCCTCCGTTTTGCGCGATCATGCCAAGGGGTAGGGTGTCCCGATTTTTGATGGGCAGGGCGAAGTGTTAAGGCTACAAGGCCCTCCAAATGAAGGGTTTTTAGACTCCAAACAGTGTTACAACAAAAGAAGAAAACCGGCAAGATGGCTGTGTAGGCGACCACAGAAACCCACAAATGTGAGTATTTTGTTTGTTAAAAGAATAAAGCATAAAGCATAAAAAAATCGCTAGTAGCTGGCGAATAGCTGACTTCAGCTTCATATTACCGAAGAATCAGTGGTGGGAGATAAATAATTGTCGCCACCCCTCCCTCTTTGAAGGCATATGATGCCCTAAATTTCACTGAAGACCAGTAGTGAGGTTGCTGAACTTCACCACTCATCTGCTATGACTGCAGACTGGCAGGTTGCCTACAGAGCATTTCCTACAGTAGCCTTTTTTATTTGAGGGTTGTTCCTCACTCGAGGTGACACTCGAAAACAAGCTGCAGGGGTAAAAATAAGAAATGG